AAAATAAATATAGGCAAGTAAGCTGTACCAATTTTAAAAATAGGCTTATTGTTACTCTGTCTTGCAAAGCCGTTAAAAATAGGCTTATTGTTACTCTGTCTTGTAAGTTATTGTCTCTGTAAAGCCAGGAGCAGAACTCAACACAGATCATGATTGCAAAAGCCTTAAATCTATTTCACTATGAAATGCCTAATAGTAGGCATTCAACTTCAGTGTATGTATTATAAATGCCCACCTAAGATGCTGTATGTACACTTCTTAATATTGCATTCAAAATTATGGCTTGCTTTTCCCTTTCTCCTTCTCTTTGGAACTAGCCCTGAAGGTGCAGGAGGATACTTGATCTGTGGTGTGAGTGGTTTAAAAAAAGACAGGAGGATACTTGATCTGTGGTGTGAGTGGTTTAAAAAAATATTATGTTCACTTATTTCTTTTTTTTTTCTTCACTCCAGGCTTTAACCCTAAGGAGAAGCAGGTCTTGGATAGGAGAGGTGATCTTAAGTGCAGGTAGCAAATGCTATAGGCAGAAGGCTGCCACAGAGGACTAAGAAGGTGCAGATGGAGATGGGGAGAAGCACCAAGGAACCTCTGGGAGGTGCTTTAGGATTCAGGTCTTAAGAGTAACTTCTGGAATTTGTTGCAACAGGATGTTGTAGAGGCAAATAGTACCTGCAGGCTCAGAAAGGTTTTCAAGAGAATGATGGACAAGAAGTTCTAAAGGGATGTGAAAGGACTGGGCAGGGATTCTTAACAGCTGTTACTCCATAAGAGTGGATACTGCCAGAGAAGGATGAAATACACTACAGATGATGGCCAGATCAGTGTGCTTCTCCTAAATAGCATGTCCTGTAGCTGCTGTCACACAAAATATTGGAGTAGGTAGAGTATCGTTTTGGTCCAGTAGGACATTTCTTATGGTGTTGCATTAGTTGGGAAACTCTTGCAGCTAGGAGTCGCCAAAATAAAAGACTCTTTATGTGCATTTGAGCACATAGAGGTGGTAGAAGGAGCTTCCAAGGTTTATGTTCCAGAGCCAAAATTTTTAAACCATGAGGTAAACCTTTGTAAAACGTGAGGTGTTTCATCCATGTCCTCTTCTTTTTAGAGGTGAGAGATGAGGTGGGTGGCACTCAACACTTGAGGGCTGCTGCACTGCAGGGCTTCTGGAGAGGGGATGAAATACACTACAGATGATGGCCAGATCTGTGTGCTTCCCCTAAATAGCATGTCCTGTAGCTGCTGTAATACAAAACAGGGGGCTTCTGGAGAGGAACCAAAATTTTTAAACCATGAGGTAAACCTTTGTAAAACGTGAGGTGTTTCATCCATGTCCTCTTCTTTTTAGAGGTGAGAGATGAGGTGGGTGGCACTCAACACTTGAGGGCTGCTGCACTGCAGGGCTTCTGGAGAGGGAAAGTGAGGGCTTTCCAAGTCTGTTGTTTGTTTCCATTTCAACTTTTCTTCCTGACTTAGGAGGACACCTTTCTGTTTAGCATTTCTGACTTTTCATCCTCTTTAATTCCATTTCAGATTTGCTGTGAAAATAATCTGCTATCAATGACAACCTACATCCTGTCCCCCCTAAGAACTCTGACCTCACGTGCCACCTTCCACTCTTTGTCCTTAAAACCTCATGCAAAGTAATGGCTTGTACATCTTATGGTAGATCTCTTCATATCCTCATATGCTCCTCTTCCTTCCCCTCCCCAATTAATCTCAAAACATTCCTCTTGCCTTTGTCTTCTCCTGTCCTGGAACTTCTCTTTTAAATTTCTGTTACACCTTCATATCAAGCCCTTCGTGTCCCCCCATGGGACATGTTTTTCCTGACTTGTAATGGCAAAGGAAACCTGAAGCTCTAATTTTTTTTTTTTTTAATTGTCCACCCCCAATTAATCAATTAATCTCTAAACATTTCTCTTTTCTCTTGCCTTTGTCTTCTCCTGTCCTGGAACTTCTTTTAAATTTCTGTTACACCTTCGTATCAAGCCCTTTGTGTCCTCTCCATGGGACATGTTTTTCCTGACTTGTAATGGCAAAGGAAACCTGAAGCTCTAATTTTTTTTTTTTTTAATTGTCCATGCAGGATCACTTTTTCTTCTTGTTTAGTCTGCTTTTCCTTGTATCTGATGCCTGCTTCTTCTTTTCTTAATGTGGACCAAAGGGCACTCTGACTTCTGCACAGCATTCTGAGGCTGATGGTATAAACAATTCTGTAGCACAGTTTGACCTTTAAATGCAATTGTGAAACTTCTGTGCTTAGCTGGCTTATTATATTTATCCCTTTTTGATCTAAGCACCTGGAAAAGTTTTGCATGTTGCTTTAGGAGAGGGGGAAAAATCAAATGTTTCTTGAAATGCATATAAAAATGCAAGACGGACCAAATTTAAGATCACGAGTCTCTACTCCCCCATTCCCCTTTGTGATAAACGAGTATCTTAAAATTCAACTGAAGACACATTCTGCTTCATTTGCTCAGGCCTTCTCTCTTCCTGTTTTGTGTCTTATTTTGGTCTATTTCAGTCAAGATCCTTTTTTCACGTCATCCAAACTCACCAGCAGCTTTATATTTTCCTTTGTTTTGACACAGTTTTGTTTGAGACTATTATTTTCTCTCCTGTAAGGGAATGTAGTGACTCGGAGCAGTCTGAATTAAACAGCACGCCCAACAGTTTGACTGAGGTTAATTAATAAAAGCAGCCTTCCAGTCCCTAAAGGAGACCTACAGGAGAGATGGGGAGGGACTCTTGATCAGGGAGTGGAGCCATAGGATGAAGGGTAATGGTTTTAAACTGAAAGAGGGGAGATTTAGATATTGGGAAGAACTTCTTTGCTGTGAGGGTGGTGAGAGCCTGGCCCAGGTTGCCCAGAGAAGCTGTGGCTGCCCCATCCCTGGAGGGGTTCAAGGCCAGGCTGGATGGGGCTTGGAGCAACCTGGTCTGGTGGGAGGGGTCCCTGCCCAGGGCAGGGGGTGGGACTGGGGGGTCTTTAAGGTACTTTCCAACTTGAACCATTCTATGATTCTATGAATTCAGCCTATATAGGATATATAGGAATTTTTTTTGTGCATTGGCTCTGTGCTGCGAATGTTGTTTTTAAAGTAAACAAATTACAGGGTTCCTTTTTATTTCACCTGTCTGTGCTGTGGCTGTTCTTTTCACTTTTTCAGCTAAAAAAGTCTGTCCCACCTCCATGTGTGTGCTAAATTTCCCCTTCTCATACTTTTTGTTGATCTGAAGTAACAGCCAGGGCTGCCTTCAACATTTTGTGCTTCTGGAGGTAATGCAAAGCTGGAGTTCTGCCGCTGTGGAAATGCATTTTTTTGGTCAATGTTTTGAAGCGTAAGTTGTAAGGCATGTTAAAGGGGGAGGAAACTGAGGTGGCCACAGCAGTCAGCAGGGGCACAGGCAATTCCTGTCTTCCTTGTGGTAGTGATTTTGTAGGATTAGTTATCCAACATCCATAATTTTTGGCCTTGACACAAGGATTAGAAAAATAAGTGCTTGATAACTTTGTAGCTGCATTTTTGCTTGCCATCCTCTGCTGCTCGCGTGTGTGAACAAGAGAAGTCTGCAAATAGGCATTGTCCCTGGGCTGATGGTGTAAGTCCCTGCTGCAAAGCCCACCTGCTTGGACTTGATGTAGAGGTGTGTGGTCTTGGTGCAGTATGTTGCCTTCCTTCTAATTAGTTGCAGCAGATCAGAAAATAGAAAAAAAAAAAGTAGCAAAGTACTCTTAAAGGCTATTTTTGTGTGTGTATTGGTAGGGCAGAAGTAACTAAAAGCTAGATGACAGCAAAATCCCTTTACAGCCTGCATTCAGTTCCCCTAACTCAAAACGGGCTTTCAGGATATGTGGTTTGAAATAAAGTATAGAAGATCTTCAGAAGGTTTCAGAGAAATGGTTTGCTTCATGTTGTAAATATTCTTGTAAGGGCAGTTGTGGCTCTCAGAGATTTACAGTGTTCTATTTGTACAAGTTGCATTCCATGAACATATATACATGCAGCAATTTAGAGTTAAAATTGCATTTTCTTAACCTGGACATAACTTGCTATTCTGGATCTACAGCTGCTTGTTGGATACGTGTGTAGCTTGACAAAGAACTATGCTTTATTTTGTGTGTTTGAGATTTTGGACAAACCTACTCTTACAGAAGAATGATGGCCAAGGACAAGGAAAGCTGTTACAACACATGTAAAAGCCAATTCTTTCTTAATGTTTTACTGGCTCAGAAGAATGTAGAACTTTTTTTTTTTTTAAAGCTATTTGGTGAGAATTCTTTAAATATCAGGTGAAAAATACATAGTCATTTTTCATTCACAATTCTTAGTGTGTAGCATTTTGTTTGGTTATGGGACTTTAAATATCATATGAATGCTGCTGTTTGTTTTCCTGTAATGAGAGGTTTCATCCACCATAATTTTTCAGTCTTAATTTTCAGCCTTTTTTTAATGTTGCCTGCCTTCTTTCTCGGTAAGAATACTTATTTTCTTCTTGCTTATGAGCAGATGTATTTCCACTGAGAGAGGCTTTCAGGAAAGCACTTAGACACCAGGATTTAGGTACTGGGGCTGGAGATGAATGGGGTAGCATAAATCTGCAGCGACAGGTCATACTCTGCCCTGTCACCTGTGCTCCGGGAGAGTGATGATTTGTGCAGGGATACTTCGGGGGGGGGAACTCCATTAATTAACCAGGATAATTCTTTATTCAGTTGTCCAGCACCGTGTAACTTTTTTATCGTCTATAAAGGCGAGAGAAGCCCTCTCTGGGCAGAAAGACCCCAGAAAGACCCCTAATGAGGCTTTTTTGGCTGCGTGTTTAGAGGTGGGGGGGATGTGCACCCTGAGGGTACCCTGGGGGGGGACACGGACCTCTGCAATGGTGGGGGGGCCCGCTGCAGACCCGCCCGGGCGCTGCGGGGCGGGAACCGCCGGCCCCTCTCATCCTCATCATCCTCCTCCTGCTCCTCCTCCTCCTCCTCGCCGCCCCGCCGCGGCCGGGGGCGGTACGAGGGGCGGCCCGGGGACACCCCCCCGCCCCGCTCCATGCGCAGGGCTCGGGGTGCCGGCCGGGGGGGCGGCTGCGGGAGCGGCGTGGAGCTTCTCGTCGTGGGGTGAGTGCGGGAAACCGAGCCGGGGGGGGGCTCCGGGCCCCTTCTTGCCTGCTTGGTGTGGTGTGGGGGGTGTGTGTGAGGGGGGGGGCTGCAGCGGGGAGGTGGCCGGGGCCGGCGTGGTGACCCTCCCTATTTGCCAGCGTTATTCTGTACCGTCATGATTGAAAGCCCGAGATTGCGGAGAGCTCGGGCGGGATGTGGCAGCTGCAGCCCCGGGCATTAGCTTGCCAGCGCCGGGCGAGTGTGCTGGGGGGTGGTGCTGGGAGGGATTTTCCCGTTTCTTTGATTTTAATCTTCATCAGTGACGTAGACAGTGGGATTGGGTGCTCCCCCAGCAAGTCTGCGGATGTCACCCGGCTGATGGTGCAGCTGACAGGCCTGATGCCATCCAGAGGGACCTGGACAGGCAGGAGAAGTGGGCCCGTGTGAACCTCTCAAGGTTCAACAGGGCCAAGTGCAGGGTCCTGCACCTTGCTGGGGGCAACCCTCGGTATCAGGACAGGCTGGAGGCAAAGGGATGGAGAGCAGCCCTGCTGAGAAGGACTTGGGGGTGCTGAACGTGAGCTGGCACCTGGTCCAACCTTTCTTGACCAAAGAACGGTCTAGACAATATGGCCCATCACCCTGTCCAGCTGAATCTTAAAAGTGTGCAATATTGGGGAATCCACCACTTCCCTGGAGTTTTTTGAGAAGTCAGAAAGCCTTATAGATACAGGGGATCCAGTCGGTGTAGTCAGCTTGGGTTGTCAAAAGTCTGTCAAGTAAGTGAAGCAGCTGGAATGCAAAAGAAAAGGGTTCTTGCTCAAGGAAATCACTGCAATGGGAAACAGAAGGTGGAAGTAAATGCTTTCTTCCTCCAGTGGTGTTTCCTAGGGATCTGCCCTGGGCAGGTCAAGCCAGTTGAGCAGCTACAGAGGTGAGCAGTGAAGTGAGATGTCTTGGTGCTGATGTTAAGATGTAGAAAAATACTAAGGACAGGGGTCTGCTATGAAAAAATTGAGAAAGACCTTAAGACTGCCTGGGTCATAACATGGCAAATGAAATGGCAGAGAGGTGTACATGAAGAGAGTAAATCAGCTTTCTGTGTAGCAGATGGGCTGTGAGCTCACCTTATTGCCTGGGTGATAAACCTTCATGTTATGACAGAATGAGGTTTTCATATGCATTTTTGTAATCTATGTAAAGGTAAGACATATCAGGAAGGATAGGAAGAAGATAGATTGGCCCTGCAGCAGTTAGGATTGCTCTACAGTTCTTGGCTAAAGAAACCAAGGAAACTCTCCAAACTGTCAGCTGTTTCCTTACAGTTACTCATTCACAAATGTACTTTGATGTAATCATGTTGCTATTCTCGGTTATAGCCTGCGGATTTTATGGGATGAAAATAGGAGCTTCCACAGATGAAGTAATCTGTTGCTCCAAAACTGTTTCTGAGGAACACTCTGACACGTCTGTATATGTTCTGAAGAAGTGGGTTTAACATACTAATAACAGAACTTAGTGGGATTATAGAAATGTTTGATTATCGGCAGTTCCTGTTTGGTTTTTTTTTTTTTTGTTTGTTTTTTTTTTGTTTTGTTTTGTTTTTGTTTTTTTTTTTAAAAAAAAAGTGTCTTCCTCCATTAAAAGGTTTTACAGAATCACAGAATGATATGGGGTTGGAAAGAACTTCTGGAGATCATCTAGTCCAACCTCCTGCCAAAGCAGGTCTACCTAGATCAGGTTGCACAGGAATGTGTCCAGGTGGGTTTGAATGTCTCCAGAGAAGGAGACTCCACCACCTCCTTGGGCAGCCTGTTCCAGTGCTCTGCCACCCTCAAACTGAAGAAGTTCCTCCTCCTGTTTAGATGGAACTTCTTATGTTCCAGTTTGTGCCCATTACCTCTTCTCCTGTCACTGGGCACCACTGAAAAAAGACTGGCCCCATCCTCCTGACACCCACCCTTTAAGTATTTATAGGCGTTATTCTTCTAAGACAAGTAACAAAAGTGGAGGTTTTCCAAGATCAGTAAAGCATACTGGATCTTCTTGTTCATCAACGTGGTTTCTAAGAGATGGTTTAAAAGTTCGAGCATGTATTTGGAGAACCAAAAAAGACAAATTCTAGCGATTTTTATGCTGGAAAGGCATAATATTAGAGAGTTTGTGGCTTGGTTCTTAAGACCATGTTAAGGAGTCTTTGGTACTGGAGGAACTGGTGCTTTGTGGCCTGAAAATGTATTGAGAACATGCCTGTGTTTCCTGATGTACTAATATCTTGGTTCACTTAAACCAGCCAAATTGAGAGTCCATGGTTTTAGTTAGATCACTGCTTGCTTGGCAATGTATGGGTAACTTGTTATGCAGAGAAACATTTGGGGAAATGGGCTCTAGGTTAATGATTGAATAGAAACATGTAGTTAAATAACTACCATGGGGACAATCACTGGCTTCTTGTGACTTTGCTTGGTTCCTGCCATAGTGAAGTGCTGCTGTGTGTGTGTGTGTGTGTGTGTGTGCTTCGTGCACATTTTAAGGTGCAAGTTTGTAGGAGAATGCCTGTGGAGTAAAATAAGTCTCAAATTAAATGCACATTTTTGTGAAAAATATTTATGTAAATAAGATAAATAAAAACTATTTTAAAACAAGGTTTGTTTCAAGCAAATATTCGTCTTGATGGATAGGATTGAAAAATTCAACAGAGTTGCTGTCTTTCTCTTTTTTTCTTTTCCCTCTCCCTCTCTGTAGTGGAGATGTAAATTAACTCTGTTTAATATTATGTTTATAGGAAAGGACTGTCCGGATGTTCCAGGAATCAGTGTCTCTCTGGAAAAAGTGGGGAGTCTCTTCCAGCGGTTTTTGAGAGAAATGTGCAGGAAGCCATTGACAATTACAAGTGGTACGTGTTCACTTCTGAAATAGTAATTCATTAACAGACTCTTGGCATAAAGTTATTTCACGATTGGAATTAATTTCCATTAGTCATGCTTCTAGTCATTCTTATGAATGACAACTATTAAGTATGGAATTTAACTTCAGAAATTAGTAGAATTTGCAGACAAATGGGCGCTTTAGTCAGCTGAGAAGGCTGTGCTCAGGCTTCTGTGTATGTCAGCTTAATTTGTCATTACAGGACTAAGAAAATGTGTCTGTTATCTTTGCCTTCTGTAATTTACTTACTACTTCTGCATGATATTTGTTGCTTAGAGTATAGTGCTGTGTTTTCTGCTTCTGCCAGCTGAGTAATTCCTCTCTACGTATAGAAATGTTCAGATAAGACATAACACAGGATATAAATTGGTCTAAACCATTGTTGGGAAGGTTTGAACTTCTGGTTTATGTTATGGGTTGGCATACATCTAAAGCATCCAACAGGAATATATGTCACTGTCCGTTTATATGATCAGTTGCATTATTTTTAAAATGTTTACACAGAAAACCATTGTGTTCTTAATTTTAATTTGTCATCTTTCCACAGTGAAACTCTTTCATCACTTTCATCTAGTGGTCGCACAACACCCACGGAGTTTAATAATTCTTGGTCTGGGATAAAAAGCTATACTACTGGTTTGTCTACTGAAAGAAGTTCTGCTTACTCCTGGAGGGATGATGTATGTCACAGAAACCTTTACAGTACACTTTATGTAAATGTTGTAGAAAAGATTCTCCTGTAGGAGAAATTAACCACTTTTGTCCATAAAAGACTGATGATTAAGTGTATTAATTGAATGTTTAAAAAATGGTTTTGTTCACAAGTGGATGTCAGTGCAACTGATGCTTAACAAAGAAAAATGGAATAAAAATATTAAATTATTAAATTTTGGGAAAATGGGCCTGTTTTACCAAAGAAGATAGGCTTAGGTTTCTGAGTCCAAGACAGTGATAAAATATGTGTTTTAAAATACTGCATAATGCAGGCAATGTCTAAATTGATCTATTCTCAGTGCTTTGAGTCATAAAATACATTATTGATGAGCATGCGTGTAAATGTCCCAGTCTGTGTAAAAATTGAGCTCTTGCCTAAGTTCAGTTCTGTTTCATAGGTGATGCAGAGAGAGGTTAAGCCCATGAGGGAGGTTGACCTCGCAGGCGTAGCTGGTGCAGGCTCCCAGTGTTGAATAAATCCAAAAGCACTGTTGTCACTGCTACTTTCATTTTAAAAAGCTCGTAGTGGTCCTTCATGGAATCATGGAATGGTTCAGTTAGAAGGGACCTGAAAGATCATCTAGTTCCAACCCCCTGCCCTGGGCAGGGACAGCACCAGGTTGCTCCAAGCCCCATCCAGCCTGGCCTTGAACCCCTCCAGGGATGGGGCAGCCACAGCTTCTCTGGGCAACCTGGGCCAGGCTCTCACCACCCTCAGTGATTTCCTAAATCTTGATGGTTTCCTAACCACCAGACTATGTCATACAGAAGGAGGTGTCCCCTCTGCCCTCTTAGCTGTTTCACTCAGAGATGAAGAGCACTGCTGAGAAAAGCAGGGAGCTTTGGTGCTGTGTGTTCATTCTTCACTCCATGTTGGAGGAGGGACTGAGCCGAGAGCCCAGACACCTTATCTCTGCTTTTTTCTGTCAGCTGATTAATTAACTTTATAGAAATGTAGACTTCTAGTTCCTTTTTGCTAAATCACCTTGCTCAGGCCAGCTACTTGGCTTTTGTTTTTTTTTGCACTGTGGTATATAAATTGTGTGTCCAAAGTAGGTAGTCTGAAGACCAGTTCTGAGATGCTCAGCCAAATCAGTTCAAGTTGTCCTGTTCTTTAAATATTGTGGGATTTTAAAATATAAATACATATGCATATTTGCTAACAATGCTTAATTTTACCTTACGTAGGAATTCGATAAAGCCAACACACAGAGAGTGCATCAGTTATTTTGGGAGATTGATGAAATGCTGTTTGAAGGAAAAGTGACCTCTCAAACTCAGAGCCTGCAGGCAGAATGTGCAGACTGGGTTGAACAATTTCCTCATCTAAGGTAAGGAAGTTTCTTGCTGGTACTAGTTCTAACCAGTTTAGTTTATGTGAATTCACTTTAATTTGAATTTTTGGGGTACTTCTGTATGAATTGCTATTGATGTGCACCACAGGTAACAGTTTTGCATTCAAATCTGGATCTCTGGGAGTGAGCTGGGCCACAGTTGTGCAGGAAGTCTTGTTGATGGTGCACTAGCAGCTAATGCTCTTTATTTTGCTTAATACGATGATTGCAGACAAAGATATTTTAGCGGGATGTAATGAGAAAATAATAACGCACCATTTTCATAATGACTTCCTGATGAGAGGCTGAGGGAGCTGGGGGTGTTCAGCCTGGAGAAAAGGAGGCTGAGGGGAGACCTCCTCGGTCTCTACAACTCCCTGAAAGGAGGGTGTAGCCAAGGGGGGGTTGGTATCTTCTTCTAAGTCACAGATAACAAGACAAGAGGAGATGGCCTCAAGTTGCAGCAGGGGAGGTTCAGATTGGGTATTAGGAAAAATTTCTTCACCAAAAGGGTTACTAAATGTTGGAATGGGCTGCCCAGGGAAGTGGTGGAGTCACCATCCCTGGAGGTATTTAAAAGATGGGTTGACATAGTGCTTAGTGACATGGTTTAGTGATGGTTTTGTATCAGGGTTGGGTTGATGGTTGGACTAGATGATCTTGAAGGTTCCTTCCAACCTAGACAATTGTAGGATTCTATGTTCAGAAATTATTTTATAGAGCAATTTTTTTTGTGTACATTTAAATAGAGTTGCTCTGTCCCTGTGTGTTACGTGTGCTGGAGTTTGTGAATTTTCTGAATGTTAATTGTAACCTTAACTATCCGTGTAAATGTTTTGGATTAGGATTCCTGCTCACGTTGATGGTTACCAGAGTTGGATAAGTGAAGTCATAGCAGCTGCTACTTGTTTTCTGCATCCATTTTTTAAACATTTCTTAGAGTTTTGATGAGAAAGGAGGTGTGTTTACTTTATCTGCCTTTAGAACAATCTAACAAGCTTGACTATTTGCTCTTAAAAATTATAAATTTGCATAATTCTCATCTGGCAAAAATCAGCTTAACTTTAATGAGTTGAATACTAGGCAATGTTAATGTATTACATGAGGCCCTGGCCCCTCCATAAATGGCTTTTTCAAAGCAAAGATAAGGTGTGGTTTCACATTGCCTACTGTTTGCAGGTATTTGTATTCTCAATATTTGCATACGGAGTGGATTTCCATCCAAGATATCACTCGCTCTCTCCTTTTTTATTCAGGGTTCTAGGAAAGCAGCTCCTATTGCCGAAGGATGAAGGCTTTCAGCATTTTCAGAGCAGAAGTGATACCTGTGTGGATACTAAGTGTTTACCTGGCCTCCGTGAATGTACCACCAATATAAAAGAGTATGTTAATTTTTTTAAGTTTTCTTTTGGATCATCCCTCTTCAGAAATATGTACAAATATTACTTTTGTATTACTGAAACATTTCAGTGTAAGCAAATATGCACTTTCTTCTTTTTAAAATATTTAATTCTCATCTTGTTTATATTTTTTCAGGCTCTGCATCTCAGGCTCTAAACTGATCCCAAGGGCACCTCCAATACATAAATCACTAGATTCCAGTTCCACTAGGATTTCTGCCTCTGACTCATGCCTGTATTCATTCCTGGAAGAAGAAATCTATGATGTGGATGGAAAAATAGAAGAATATCTTGCCTTTGACAACAAGGAGCTGTAAATAACAGATATATGTGTATTTTTGAAGAATATAATGACAAATTATCAGTGAACCCAGTTTATACACTCTGTTTCTTTTCTGTAAAACACCGTTCCTTCTGTCCCTGAGTCGGGTAGAGCAGTGGTCAGAGCACTCACTGGGCATGGAGAACATTAGGTATGTTGTCTTTCTAGTGGTTCAAAACTCACAACTGCCATCTCAGAGGAATTTGTCTTAACCACTAGTTGTTTTGAGGTGTTTTGTGCATGGAGATTCAATAAGATGGATATTTTAATTTTGAGGAAAGGAGTAGGATGAAGAAAGAAGAAATCCCTTCTCCCCAAGTGAGTGCCTTTGCCACCAGTTTGTTGAGGGTTTGTTACACTGCACGTGCTCTCATTGTCTGCCCTAATGAATCTGAAATTCTTTCTGTAACAGCTTTGTGAGGAGAGGTGCAGGATTCAGCCTGATTTAGAGCACTCTTTTGAGCGACAGGAGTCCTGTGGCTTTGTTCTGGGCAATGCACCCTAGGTTTCCCATGGCCCAGTTGAACGTTCCAGCAGTTTGTCTACTGGGTGGATGAAAAATCACGAGGGCTTGGGTGCCTGTCTTTTTGGAAATTATTTGGGTTTAAGAATCCTCTTAGGACCCTTCTCTCTTCATTTTGCGAAGTAGGCAAACTGAATTTGGGAGAGAGACTTGACTGAAGGCATGCTTCTCTCCTTTGTGCTGCCTCGGTATGTTGTTTCTTGTTTCCTTCAATTTTGAAATATCTTAATTCTCCATAAGTAAAACATCAAGCATTACAAAGCCCGATATGAAAATAGCATGGCCGTTTTGTGAGTTGGACCATTCAGCCAAGTCTCACTTACAGTTAAGTTTGCAGTCCAGTCTGAGGAAGAAGTGAAGAAGTGACTGACAAGAGAAAGGGAGATGGTAGAAACCAGTATCAATTTGGGATCATCCTTGTACTCTCAAAAAAAATCGCATTTTCTTAGAAAGAGATATTGATGGCATTAAAAAAAAAAAAGGAAAAAGAATCATAGAATAGTGTGTGTTTATGTTAGTTTGGTGTATTAGAAGGGGAAAAAAAAAATCAAACCCTGTGGGAATTCATTTGAATTTGCTTCCTTTATTAGTGATGATGAGAGTTGGGAACAAAAGAAAATGCGTCTGGCTGAGAAGAGGAGTAAGTGTGGCATTCCCCCTGTTTCTCCCAATGCCTGTATCAAAGATGCTGTGGTTTCTGAAGTATTCGATTGTATCTGGAGCAATGTAATTGGAATATTGGAGGAACTGATTAAAAAAAATTGGGAAACTAATATCGCAGGTATTTGACATTTTTAGGTATGTTATCTATCAAATCTAACTTAGGAAAGGGATATATTTTTTTTTTTTCCTTAAAGCTTGGGAAATCTGGTTATTTTGAGATAGCCATGTTGGTAGCACAGCATTATAAGATCTATAATGCCTTACTACTAATTTTCAGGTAGTTGTGAGGTACTACTTGAAAATTAGCTCATTATTTGAGCTTTGTCAATAAAAAGCACCCTTAGGTAGTCAGATAGTTAAAGGGAGGTATACAGGTGTGCTGACAGTTCATCAGTTTAATATCGGATGAAGATATGGTGATGCATGTTATTTTATTTTATTTTATGTTTTTATACTCTAACAGGCTGTAGTGAGGAAAAGCAAAAGCTGGAAAAATTAACTAGAACTGAAAATCTGTTTAGTGTACATGTGTTGTCTTTGGAGACTGAGGGAAAGCTCAGTTCTTCTTTCAATGTATTTTAAAAGGACAGCAACACACCTGGGAGTGGGTTTAGGAAATTACCTCGAATTTCGGGTACACTCAATCTAAGTCTACAACAAACTAATAAAGGGCAAAATTTTACAGAATACATGCAGCATCAGAACTTAATATTTCAGGTGTTACTGAAATACAGAAGGATTTTTCACATGGCAGGGGGATTGTTTAGTTCAATATTATAGTTTAGGGAGGATAGCTTAGCAGTTTTATGAAAGGTGTGCTCTTTTATCTTTAAGAAGGTCATAATCTTAGGACAAATAGATAGCTAACCAAGGTATTTCAACTAGGAATATAAAAGAATTTGGGTTTAATAGAAATAAGGGGGTGGTATATACACAAAATGACAGCGTGTAGCTGCTGCCAGACAAGGATAGGATCAATAGACTTTTTTTTTTCATATATATATTTTTTCCTTTTTTTTTTTTTTTTTTTTTCCAAAAAATATCTTTGGGAAATTCTAAATAACATTCCAAGAGTCTTAATGGTATTTTCTTAAACAAACCCCCACCCTCCAAGTCTACCTGCATAGACCAACTTGTTTGTCAGTGTCTGAGAAAGCATAAACAAATGGGAATGCTTTCAGAAAAACATCATTTATGGTAGATTTTTAAATATCACAGAAGCCTGCAACTGTAAGAAAGTCCGTATTTACTGTGAAGTGTAATATTGTTTGAATCCCAACAAATGATGGCTGGTAAACATACAAAATACCTCTTATTCTCTCTCTTATTTTTTTGCTGTTATGCAGAGGGTGATAAACAGGTGGAAAAACTGAAAGCTGTTACAACAAAACTGCCTCATTTGCCAGTTGCTCGTGGTACAGCAGATGCTGGAAGTGTTCCTCTTTCCAGAAGTTCTGAAACAAGAAGTGTGTCTTTTGTTTCCTCACAGGTAAAAATAGCTTTCTGTCAGGCAGTGTTCTTTCTGCTAACCTTGGGCAGAGTCCTTGCTGAAGCTAGAAAAAGGTTTGGGTTTTTTTTCTTTTTTTCCTTTTTTTTCCCTTTTTGCTTTCTTTCTCTTATTTTTTCTTTTTTTTTCCCCTCCTTTTTCCCTCCCCTCCCTTTTTTTTTTTTTTTTAAACCAATTAGGTATTCTTAAAATACTTCATCTCATTTAAAAGCAAGGTTCATTACATTTCTTGTTTACTATCACTTGTTCCTTGGTGGTTCTTCAAGGCATGGTTTACCACTAAGATGTTGCTGAAGTTGGTTTGCAGAAAACCCATTTATTAGGCTGTGTTCTGTCCTTTAGAAAATAGTTCTGCTTTTATCGTCGTCCAGTCGTTTCCTCTTGGTAGAATTAAGAAAATAAATCAGCATCTTCCCCTGGGTGTGTGGAGTTGCAACTTGAAGTTCTTCACTTGCAACCCTGCGAGTTCCAGATTCTCTCATTCCTTTTCATTTCCTTTGCCTCTTGTACAGGGGGACTCTGCTGTGTGTCCGTTCAGCCTTACCTGTCTTTGTGCAAGCTTATGTTTGCATTAAGCAAATGCCCTTTTTTTTGGTCCACTTGCTGCCTCCTCCCTCTGTCCCCTGCCTTCTGTTTTGCACATTTTTTATTTTCCAGCCACTGCTTCTGTTTGGGTTTCCCCCCGGTCTCTCTCTATTTAGTTCAAGCAACTTCATTTTCTTCCATCTGCTCTTTTTCCATAGTTGTTAAATAGTGAGATAAGAAACAGGGAAGAGAATGCAGGGCAGTCTTGGTGCTCTGGGTTCTGCAGTGGTCCAAAAGCAGTAGCCAGAAGTAGTAAAATTCTTAGATAAGAAATGCCCAGGCTTTGTGTTCCCAGGCTGGAACGTGCTGAGGGAAAACACAAAGTCTGGAGAATCGAAATCTGGCTTCAACTGACACTTACATCGCAAGTTGAGTTGCAATTCAGTAGCTAAATTTTCCCAGTTCTGTTTGTAAGAATCTGTTTAAAATAAGCAAAACAACGCATTTTCCCCGTCTACTACTGAGAATTTTCCTGAAGCGTTTTAACAGAAACTTTTCTAAAAAACAAGTAAAATATCTCCTAACTATGTGCTTTTTGAGGTCTTCCTTCAAAACAAAAGTAAAAGTTAATGCCTGTTTGTTGCTTTTGCTAGGCTCAGCGTTTCTCCAGCAGCTTGTGTAGTGATTTGAACGGTGTGATGACAATTCAAGCTAAACCACTCCAACAGAGGCATGTTGCCACGGTAGAAAAAACACAGTAGGTGTTGGCATTGTTGACATTTTTAAAATGCGGCATAATTTGTGTTATGTAAAATATGTTTGGCAATTACAAAAAAGGCAATAAGGCGGCAGTTATCTCCTTTGTGTGCATCGCTGGTGTGATAATGGTTTGTAGAGGTTGCAGTGATGCTCTGTTGAGAAATCTTTTTTTAGTTTTCCTTCTTTATCCTCATTCCTATCTTCTTCTCCTTCTTTTTTCCCTAGGAATGAGCAAGAAGACAAACAGCAGAGCATTGGCCCCAGTGCTCCAAATCCAGTGCACGCTAGGTTGGGGAGAACCGCTGGTAACAGCGTTCTCTCGTCGTCTCGGGTACTGCTGGCATCTTCTAGGAAGCTACCAAGCCATCGTAGGTTACCTTCTCTCACTTCTGACCAACTCTCCTCAAAAGCTCCTAATATGTACAATGATGAAATCCTTAGGGGGACTAAATTGTGAGTTTTTTCGTTTTATTCTTTGCTTTCTTCAGAACTTTACTGAAATTTCACCAGTGAAGGATTTTTGCAAAATACTTGAGAAACTAACCTGAGATTTCTTATTGATTCTGGAATTCAGAGAGAAAAAGAAAGCAAGCAGAGCCGTGTTTTTTGAGGAGAGGCATTTGTTTTATTGTGGTTTTTTTTCTATATTAGGTGCTGTTACTTTCTGTAGCTGAGCTGTATAAAGAAATGTGCTGCTTAATAATTTCATATTACTTCAGTGAAGAAGTCTTGAATGTGAATTTTCCTAAAAATGGAACCCTTAAAATTCCACAGGGGTGCCAGCTCGGACCGTTTATCCTCTGCTCGTGCACCTACAGCCCGGAACAAGTTACCACCAATAAACTCAGAGGTTGTTGAACAGTGTCTTTCAGTACCTCGATTGCAACAGAGCTATGTAAGTTGTGTTCATTTTTGTACTGGTCAAGAACTTCAAGCTGTTTGGAAATAAATTGCTCTGTGTCACTGGTTAAAATGAGCACTTTTAGAGTTTATTTTCGTTCGTAACTTATATATGGTCTTAACATGCTAATGTGTGTTATGTTGGAGTATACACCAGCGTAAAGAAGCCAGTTTAAAACCCCAGGTCATAAGCAGATCATGATAGTAAGACTTTCCTCTGTTTAAAAAAAATAAAAAAATAGAGAGGAACAACCAACCAGCCAGATTGTAACCTTGCACTTATTGCATCTGCATTTATATAGGTCTTTTCCGTGTTTTATTCACTAATGCTAGGTTATAAGAAGTATAAAGTTATGCTGTCTGAAGTAGAAATGGATACTGACTGGAAAAAAAAGGATAAATGATGTTGATACTGGTCTGGTTTTGAAGATTAAGGAAGTAATAAGTCACCAAAATAAAAGCAAATTGATATTTTGATGTTCTTTTGCTTCTGAATAATTTTTTAAGGCATGTGTAAAGTCTATTATTGGTGTTACTATTTTATTTTAATTAATATAAGCATTTGGGAATTTTAGACTAGTACTAGGGAACAGTCTCAAATCTCTTTGAAAAACATGAGTACCCTTAAGTTACCTTAAACTGATGACTTAGGTTAGTGAAAACTTATTTTTCTTTTCTTTTTCTCTTGTGGTTTGTTTTTTTGGTTTTTTGGGTTTTTTTGTATACCAATGGAAAAATTATTGTAATCAATTCGGTTGCTGCTAGGTTAGTGAAAACTTATTTTTCTTTTCTTCTCTTGTGGTTTGGTTGTTGGTTTTTTTTTGTATAGCAATGGAAAAATTATTATTGTAATCAATTCAGTTGCTGTATTCTGCATTTTCTCAATGCTTTTTTCAGTTCTCTCAGCATCGAGGACGGTTTGCCCACAGCAGAGTGTCAAGTGCAGTGCCTGGCAGTACAGAGCAACGGCCGCTCAGAGAAAGAACTGTTATTATTGACCAGTTTTCAAGGCCCAACACAACCCATACATTCAGGGTATGTTACAATGTAAGTGGAGACGTTGGAAAGTGAAGAAGCTTCCATTCGTGCCCACTCTTGGTCTGCAGAAGGTCTCATTTGCTGGATCTCTCCTGATTTCTGGTGTACAGGGATTCTTGCTGCCAGGGGAAAGGAGGGTTTTAAAAGACTTTGGGAGGGTGTAGGACCTTGAAAAGCAGGGCTAGTGTATGAGAAGAGATTGTTTTCAACTCTGATGCATCAAACAATTCATGTGAGGATATCTGTGCACTAGAGGTCATAGAATCATGGAATGGTTTGGTTTGGAAGGGACCTTAAAGATCACCCAGTTGCAACCCCCCCTGCCCTGGGCAGGGACACCTCCCACCAGACCAGGTTGCTCAAAGCCCCATCCAGCCTGGCCTTGAACCCCTCCAGGGATGGGGCAGCCACAGCTTCTCTGGGCAACCTGGGCCAGGCTCTCACCACCCTCACAGCAAAGAATTTCTTCCTGAGATCTCATCTCAATCTCCCCTCTTTCAGTTTAAAACCATTCCCCCTCATCCTATCTCTCCGCTCCCTGATCCAGAGTCCCTCCCCATCTCTCCTGGAGCCCCTTCAGGGACTGGAAGGGGCTCTAAGGTCTCCCCGGAGCCTTCTCTTCTCCAGGCTGAACGCCCCCAACTCTCCCAGCCTGTCCTCGCAGCAGAGGGGCTCCAGCCCTCTGAGCATCTTCATGACCTTTCCAAAAGGTCCATGTCCTCTTTGTTCCAAGAATTCCAAAGCTGGACACAGTACTCCAGGTGGGGTCTCACCAGAGCAGAGTAGAGGGGCAGAATCACCTCCCTCGCCCTGCTGGCTACACTTCTTCTGATGCAGCCAAGGATGCGAGGGGCTTTCTGGGCTCCCAGTGCACGTTGCCAACTCATGTTAAGCTTCTCATCCACCAACACCCCCAAGTCCTTCTCCTCAGGGCTGCTCTCAATAAAGTGTGCAGTTCCAGGACTGCTTGGAGCTTTGCAGCTTGGTAAGACTCACTCTGCTGGACTAGATTGTAAAAGCTGTAATTAAAGCGTTTCAGTAGATAAACACACTGTACTAGCTAATAGCACGTCATTCCTTTTTACAGACAGACACGCCTCAGAAGAGATCACTGACTCCCATGGATTTTGCTAACCACAGGGGGACAGGCCAAGGATTTTTAATAGGTGGGCAAAGTAAGAATCACTTGGAAGGCAAAATGCCAGCAAAACCTATTAACCCATAGTACAGTCGAGAAGGAAAATGCTCAGGGAGAGCCACCTTGGCATAAAAGAGAAACAGGTGTCCTTGGCAGGACCTTCTGAGCTTGGTTTTGAATTTTTTTTTTAATTTTTGATTTCAGCACATCATAATTACAGCAAGAGTATGTGGTGTACAGGCTACATGTTTTACAGCTGCTAGAGTAGCAATGCAAGTAGAGGTTTGTGAACTGTTTTCATAACAAATTTTATTTTAGCTCCCATATAAATTCGCCAAATTGATAAACTTTTTATATGGGGAAAAATAAAATTGAAAATGTGCATTTTTAACAGAAGTATAAAGCTCTCTAAAAGAAATAAAAGAATCAATATTGATTTTCAGCTGTCTGCCATTTATAACATCAAAAAAGAGGGCAGCCCTGCGTGGCTTATTGAGCTCCATTGTTACAATAAAGCTGACTAGCTAGCTCCTGACGTATTTGAGTGCTTGTATGTAACCTTTGTTTGTTTGGAAGTTCTTGAGTATAGATAATTATATGATCGGCGTAATTATATAAAAAGAGATGTAAGAATAAGGTTAGCAAAGGTTGATCGGAGGAGACTGATAGAAGTAACTCGTACGTAATCTTGGAGTGTCTTTCAGATTCTCCCACAACTAACAAGCAATTATTTTGTTTTCTAGGCTCACAGCATTACTACAGATCCTTTCCGAGAAATCCTCCAGCCTCAAGGAAGAGATTTCAGATTGTTTCTTAACCCAGCTTAGGAAGAAGCAGAAACCTCCTGCACCGAATGGAAGAGTGAAGTGCTAGATTTGCCAGCTTGTGTTTTGTGTAAAAAAAGGACATGTGCAGTGTGCTGGTTTCTGCTGAGTCTTGCAGTCCTCAGGATGCCTGCATTGCCTTCCTTTAAAGTTGTCTGATCAGGGGTTAGATTAAAAATTAGAGCAAAACGAAATACGCGGTCCAGGTGCCTGCTCTGTTTGCAGAGTCAAGATGCTGCTGCTGCTGCACTTTCTTCTCAGGCATTCCTCCTTTTCCTGTCTTTCCTTAAGGAATTGTTCTCCTACCTTTAGAAGCAAATAGGTTGTGTTTAGGCCATGAAGTCCTGTTCCCACTTTTTCATGTTTCCTCAGTGTTAAAGATGTTCTAGTCTATCCAAACATCAGTCATGTATAAAAATCCCTACTTTTAAATAGGAGTTTGTGGTATCTCCACTTTAACTGCTGTTTTACCATTTCTCCTTTTTGCAGTCTGTCTGCTTTTTCTTGTAAATATTGTCTGTCCCTGCCTTTTCTCCTTCTTCCTTTAATTCCTTTGAGATGGAATTCATTCATTGCTTCTTCTTATGCTGTCCTAATCGTCGGTAACCATGGGAACTGCTGGGGTAAACTTTGTTTACAGGAAGCAACGTTTTCCCTGCCAAGCCAAACGTGTTTATAGATGCTGAGTGATTGCTGATGGGTCAGTAAGGCTGTTCCCACTTCTTGAGACGTCTTATAAAATATTGCCTGTTAGCGTACAAATTAATCCCATGTTGAAATATCCCAACCTTCAAAGGTTTAACACGAAAATATTTCATATCTCTTTGTGTAGACCCAGATGGGAAGATTCAAGAGGAGACTGGGATTCTCTGATGGCATTCTGCCCAGAGGTCACAAGCCTGTCCAGGTCCCTGGCTGTTAGTACTGGGTGCATTCATGGTCAGGAATTCCTCCTCCCATCAGAGAACCAGCAGTTTAAATAGATGTGGTTGACGGGGAAAGGGAGGAGGGAGAAAAACTTAATTACTTGCCCAAATTGTGCAGTTAAGGATAGAATCAGTTTAGAATCAGTTTCTTCTACTTGGGAACCAATACCAGTTTTCCTCACTTCTTTTTATGAATGTTTGAGGATGGGTAATCCAAGGCAAAGCATTTGTAATGTATATTTTATATCTGTGCTGTTAATCAGATTTCTGGTATTTGTAAATGGTCATCAAGCACTGCATTCCTTTGAGTAAATGAAAGCATTTTTAAATTACTTTCCTGGCTTAGTATTTTTCTCCTTTGCTTACACCAAGTTTACTCACTGGTGATACTATGGTGTGGTCTCTGAGAAAGCAGAATGCTTTTGCTTTGGGGTTGCAGGTCGATTTCTTACAGTTTCAGGTCAATTTGATGCAGTTTCTTCAGAAATCTCAGGTCAAAGATGACATAATGTTCAAAATTCACATTTGTCTTCAGCGATGTGTCCAAAATACACTTTTGCTCTTGTGGGTGCTCCCTCCTGTACTATGGACACATTGACAAGAACGCCGCAGGGGTGATGTGGAGGAATTTTCACCCCCATTTTCTGCTTCAGTCTCGCAATGGATTCACGGGTAGGCTTCCCAGCTGGGTGTAGGTGTCAAGGTGTGGGCAAAGTGGGTGCTGCTGGGGTGAGAAAAGGCCAGAGAAGAGAACACAGCCAGTTCCTGCCAGGTCCATAATGGACCCACTGCAGGGCATAGCTGAGCCCAGCAGCGAAGCTGGTGGTGCCTCTGTGAAAATGTATTTAAGAAAGGGTACAAAAAGTGCTGGACAGACAGAGGAGAAGGGGGGGAAAGAGCAAAACACCAGTACAAGGTCAGCGAAGGAGGAGAAGGACTCCAGGCAGCAGAGCAGAGGTTCCCCAGCAGCTTGTGGAGAAACCATGCTGGAGCAGCCTTATCCTCAAGGGTTGCAGCCCATGGAGGGGGACCATGCTGGAGCAGGAGAAAACCGTGAGGAGGAGAAAGGAGTGCCAGAGAGGAACTTTTTTGTCTTTGTTTCTTACTTCCCAGCTCATTTAAAATTGTCAATAAAGTAAATTAAACTTCCCCAAATTGAGTCTATTTTGCTCATGATGGCAACTAGTAAGTGATCTTCCAGTCTTTGTCTTGACCCCTGAGCTTTTCCATCATGTGTTTCTGTGACCGACCATCACAAGTTCTTCCAGATCTTAAACTTGCCCCTTTTATTCCTGCTCCACGACCTCTGGCTTTCTTCATTTAACGTGTAGGATGCTGCTAAGTGCTTTCTCTAGACTTGCTAGACTTCAGCAAGGAGGAGGCCCTGTGGGATCCAGCCAGACCGCAGAACATTAGGCAGAATCTCCACCTGTGACCTTGGTGGGGGTTGTGGCAATCCAGTTTGGGAGTATGCCTTTTCCTTGACATACAGATGAATAAACATAGGTGTGGTGCTTTGATACCTACTTAGTGTTAATATCTATTAGTTATACCAACATCACATTATTCAAATTGCTTTCCAACAGTAGGCTGTGTTCTGGGTGATGGGTGGTGGCCTGCTTTATTGCAAGACATGTTATTATCCTGGCATGGAAGATTTTGGTTTCTTAGAGAGGAGGCAAAAACTTTTGTATTCTGCTGGGGATAATCCATTAATGCAAAGCTTCATGTAGTGAAGGAGTCCAAATGATGGCTACAGAAGAAAGCATTTGCTGCTGTACTGAGAACATCAGGTTGGAGAAACAACAGCAAGGTGTGCTTGATTGAGGTAAGCATCACAGCAGTCAGTCTGTCCCTGAAACACATAGCTGTGGTCTCTATCTCACCAGTGCTGTTAACTTCCTTTATCTGTGTGAGGAAAGATAACCCATGGAAGGATTTGAAGATGGAGTCTTCCTCAAGCTTTGAGGCCTAGTTTTTGGGCTACAGAAGCATGAAGTTCAGCATCAGGCCCTAAAATTCCTTGTATTAGGCCCTAAAATTCCTCGCTGAGGACTGGGGGAGATCTCTGAGCTGTTCAGCACTTGACAGTGTCTTTTCAAAGGGAGATGTACTGTGCTAGCTTTTCTTTGTGCAGGTGACAGATGTTGTGGATGACAAATTCACTCTTGTTTTTGGCAGGAGTGACTTTCTACGTAAAGTTTAATCATGTTGTAATTGTGTATGTTGAGAAAGAGGGAAGCTCTTCCTAAGAAAAAAACTTTCCTAATTGCAAAGTAATTGTAGTGATTGCTAAGTTAGCTACCAGTTAGTCTTGCTTACTGTGGATGCTGGGTGTTTTTCTTACTGTGGATGCTGGGTGTTTCGCAAGGGATGGCAAAAACATCAGGTATGTCTTGGCTGGGGCAAAGGACTAACATAAAGAGCACACTACAGTTTTTTCAGACTGTGTTGTGTACTTCTCTTTTGTCCTTCTGTCAGATCAGATCCATTTAAGCCTTGCTTTGCTTTGGGTTTTTGTCTTTCTTGCTGGTAACGATGATTTTTATTGATTTCCTCGTTGAAGAATCCAGCCCTGCACTCTAGGGACGTTGTGCCTGTGGGCTGACACAGCTGCCTGACAGCTGCGTGCCTTCTGCCAGCACGGGCGGATAGGCTGCCAATTAGGTGAGAGGCTGATTAAAAGCAGATCTGTGCCTTTACATGCATTTATAAAAGCTGAGATGCACTAACCAGTGGAGGGCCCACTGAAATCCCAACACTGAGCAAGTAGCTCTCGGGGTGAAAAGGGGATGCTGATCCCAATCTGGTAGAAAACTCCTCTTGTACAGAACCTCCTCTAAGGTTTGTAATGATTACAAGTCTCAATGGCATAATTAGACCTCAGAGATGCCAAACCTCTGATTTCTTCTTTCTGGAATATATCTTTTACATCTCATTCCAGTGTAGCTGCTGCCTTTGATAGCAGCATCGCTGTTGCCAGCTGCTGGCAGGATTTTGCAATGTTTGTTCTGCTGTGTTCCCTGATGTTTTCTCAGTGGCTTTTCACCCTGTCCCTGCTGTTTCACTGGTTTTCAGGTTGTGGGTTTTTTTCCTGCAGAAGGAGTTATCAGTGGTTAGAAACACAGATTTTGACCCAGAGTCACAATTGACCACTTCATCTAATTATTGTCTCCATGAAGGCAGCAAACTGCAAGGTATTTTAGAAAGAAGAGAGTATAATAACCCAGCTGATCTCCATGATACAGAGACAAAAGGTGAACCTCTTAGTCCTGCACACTTGCTTCCTTTGTGAAATGTCACCTGAACACAAGAGAGGACTGGTGGCTACGTAGCTTGCCTTTTTTTTATTGCAAGACAGGTTATGGATCTGCTGCTTTCTGTCACAAATCATGACAAATAACAGCAAGAGTAGCAAAGTTCATTTCCAGCTGTTTACTGTGCAGAGAAAAGCAACAGTCAGCCTTTATGATAAAGTGTTTGCTGGGAGATTGCAGGAACAAAGTGCCAAAACTTTCTCCCTTCTGCTGCTAAGGGTCATCAGCCCTTCCTTAGCTTCTGACGTTCTGAGCTTTCTCTGTTGGTGCTTCTTGTCCTAGTTTCTTTGTTTATGCTGTTTGTTGGTGTACTGAAACCTCCAGTGCAGTAAATTTTGGTACAAAACATACAGGAGAAAGATGACCATGGCTATGAAAGCTCTTGTGTTATGACTCAGGGGGTGAAGCTTTGCAAATGGGACCGCAGAACATTAGGCAGAATCTCCACCTGTGACCTTGGTGGGGGTTGTGGCAATCCAGTTTGGGAGTATGCCTTTTCCTTGACATACAGATGAATAAACATAGGTGTGGTGCTTTGATACCTACTTAGTGTTAATATCTATTAGTTATACCAACATCACATTATTCAAATTGCTTTCCAACAGTAGGCTGTGTTCTGGGTGATGGGTGGTGGCCTGCTTTATTGCAAGACATGTTATTATCCTGGCATGGAAGATTTTGGTTTCTTAGAGAGGAGGCAAAAACTTTTGTATTCTGCTGGGGATAATCCATTAATGCAAAGCTTCATGTAGTGAAGGAGTCCAAATGATGGCTACAGAAGAAAGCATTTGCTGCTGTACTGAGAACATCAGGTTGGAGAAACAACAGCAAGGTGTGCTTGATTGAGGTAAGCATCACAGCAGTCAGTCTGTCCCTGAAACACATAGCTGTGGTCTCTATCTCACCAGTGCTGTTAACTTCCTTTATCTGTGTGAGGAAAGATAACCCATGGAAGGATTTGAAGATGGAGTCTTCCTCAAGCTTTGAGGCCTAGTTTTTGGGCTACAGAAGCATGAAGTTCAGCATCAGGCCCTAAAATTCCTTGTATTAGGCCCTAAAATTCCTCGCTGAGGACTGGGGGAGATCTCTGAGCTGTTCAGCACTTGACAGTGTCTTTTCAAAGGGAGATGTACTGTGCTAGCTTTTCTTTGTGCAGGTGACAGATGTTGTGGATGACAAATTCACTCTTGTTTTTGGCAGGAGTGACTTTCTACGTAAAGTTTAATCATGTTGTAATTGTGTATGTTGAGAAAGAGGGAAGCTCTTCCTAAGAAAAAAACTTTCCTAATTGCAAAGTAATTGTAGTGATTGCTAAGTTAGCTACCAGTTAGTCTTGCTTACTGTGGATGCTGGGTGTTTTTCTTACTGTGGATGCTGGGTGTTTCGCAAGGGATGGCAAAAACATCAGGTATGTCTTGGCTGGGGCAAAGGACTAACATAAAGAGCACACTACAGTTTTTTCAGACTGTGTTGTGTACTTCTCTTTTGTCCTTCTGTCAGATCAGATCCATTTAAGCCTTGCTTTGCTTTGGGTTTTTGTCTTTCTTGCTGGTAACGATGATTTTTATTGATTTCCTCGTTGAAGAATCCAGCCCTGCACTCTAGGGACGTTGTGCCTGTGGGCTGACACAGCTGCCTGACAGCTGCGTGCCTTCTGCCAGCACGGGCGGATAGGCTGCCAATTAGGTGAGAGGCTGATTAAAAGCAGATCTGTGCCTTTACATGCATTTATAAAAGCTGAGATGCACTAACCAGTGGAGGGCCCACTGAAATCCCAACACTGAGCAAGTAGCTCTCGGGGTGAAAAGGGGATGCTGATCCCAATCTGGTAGAAAACTCCTCTTGTACAGAACCTCCTCTAAGGTTTGTAATGATTACAAGTCTCAATGGCATAATTAGACCTCAGAGATGCCAAACCTCTGATTTCTTCTTTCTGGAATATATCTTTTACATCTCATTCCAGTGTAGCTGCTGCCCTTTGATAGCAGCATCGCTGTTGCCAGCTGCTGGCAGGATTTTGCAATGTTTGTTCTGCTGTGTTCCCTGATGTTTTCTCAGTGGCTTTTCACCCTGTCCCTGCTGTTTCACTGGTTTTCAGGTTGTGGGTTTTTTTCCTGCAGAAGGAGTTATCAGTGGTTAGAAACACAGATTTTGACCCAGAGTCACAATTGACCACTTCATCTAATTATTGTCTCCATGAAGGCAGCAAACTGCAAGGTATTTTAGAAAGAAGAGAGTATAATAACCCAGCTGATCTCCATGATACAGAGACAAAAGGTGAACCTCTTAGTCCTGCACACTTGCTTCCTTTGTGAAATGTCACCTGAACACAAGAGGGGACTGGTGGCTACGTAGCTTGCCTTTTTTTTTATTGCAAGAGAGGTTATGGATCTGCTGCTTTCTGTCACAAATCATGACAAATAACAGCAAGAGTAGCAAAGTTCATTTCCAGCTGTTTACTGTGCAGAGAAAAGCAACAGTCAGCCTTTATGATAAAGTGTTTGCTGGGAGATTGCAGGAACAAAGTGCCAAAACTTTCTCCCTTCTGCTGCTAAGGGTCATCAGCCCTTCCTTAGCTTCTGACGTTCTGAGCTTTCTCTGTTGGTGCTTCTTGTCCTAGTTGCTTTGTTGATGCTGTTTGTTGGTGTACTGAAACCTCCAGTGCAGTAAATTTTGGTACAAAACATACAGGAGAAAGATGACCATGGCTATAAAAGCTCTGGTGTTACGACTCAGGAGGTGAAGCTTTGCAAATGGTGTGTGAGCCATGTTGTCTTCTCACTGAACTTCTGTTTGCCACAGGGTTTCTGAGCACTGGAAGCTTTGAGGAGCAGGTGCTCCGCAGCCCTGCAGCAGTGAGCAGACACCCTGGATGCTCCTGAGGCAGCAGGGGCTGTGGTGGGTATGGCACCGCTTCTACACAAGCTCTTTGTAAGTTGTGGCACAGGCGCTGGTGCTGCCAGTTGTGTTGATGGCACCATTTAGCTTGTGACTTGAGTGTTCAACAGTGAAATCAGCAAAAGTCATTTGAGTCAAGAAGCATCAGTGCTGCTCTTGATAGTGGGTCTGTATGGGCTCTGGTTTGTGTAACCTCCTAAATCCATCAACCCAAGTGAAGAAAGGTACTCCCCATCTGAAGTACTTGAATCATAGAATCGTAGAATGGTTAGAGGTGGATGGGACCTTAAGGATGGTTTAGTTCCAACCCCCCTTCCCTGGGCATGGATACCTCCCTCCCACCAGACCAGGTTGCTTAAAGCCCCATCCAGCCTGGCCTCGAACCCCTCCAGGGATGGGGCAGCCACAGCTTCTCTGGGCAACCTGGGCCAGGCTCTCACCACCCTCACAGGAAAGAATTTCTTCCCAAAATCTAATCTAAATCTATCCTTTTTGAAACCATTACCACTTATCCTATCACTCCACTCCCTGATAAAGAATCCCTCTGCATATTTCTTGTAGCCTCTTTAGGTACTGGAAGGGGCTCTGAGGTCTCCCCGGAGCCTTCTCCCCAACTCTCTCAGCCTGTCCTCACAGCAGAGGGGCCCCAGCTCTCTGATTATCTTGTCCATGTCCTCCTTATGTTGGGTGCCCCAGAGCTGGATGCAGTACTGCAGGTGGGGTCTCAGGCATCTTGTTGGAGAACACTGGAGCAGTTCTGTGTGGCAAAATCCTGTTCCCTGAGCATCTGAAAAAGAGACAGTTGAGAAAATCCATCCTTCCCAAATCAGCAAAAAGCTGTTTTTTCTCTTGACAGCGGTTTGTATCTTTTCCTTCTGAGGTATTGCACAGACCTGCAGAGAACTTTCTTGCTCTTCACTCGAGTCAGATGATCCAAGTGAGGTCAGGGACACGGCACCCTTCCCTTCCCCGTGGCTGCTCTGCCGTTGCCAAGTGCTTGCAGGCAGCCTCTCCGCCTGTGTGTGGAGTTGTGGGGTTTATTTTATGTCTTTGTTTATTTTCCTGGCAGGAAACTGTGTCTCGGGACCGAGTGACAGCTCCGCCTCTCGCTCTCGTGGCCCTTGGCTCGCTTGGCTCCCGGCAGCAGAGCAGAGCTGGCCGGGCACGGGCAGTGCCGGCTCCACGGTGGGGACCAAACCTAGGAGATGGCCACGGAGGTCATTCAGGATGCTGTGGGAGGACCCCAGCTGCTGTACTGGGGGGCCGGGGTCATCACTCTGCTGATGACGGTTGTGGCCCTCTGCTTCCTGCCCTCCCTGAGGGATTACTGGAGGCAGTGGTGGGTGATGAAGCCGATCCCGGGTGTCAGCCCCTGCCTTCCTGTGCTGGGGAACGCTCTGCTCTTGGAGAGGGATGGACAAGGTAAGGGCAGCTCATGCTGTAGCCCAGCTGTGAGGGGCTTTGCTGGAGGAGCTGGTGAAGTGCTTGGGTGGTCGAGCTGTGGGTGGCTGGGGGGATTTTAGGGTGCACCATCACCTTTACTTCTCTCTGGGGGCTGAGGGGAGCTGTGTGAGAAGCGGGCAGTGGAGGGGAAAGGAGAGAAACTGCCTAAATGTGGGGTTACTCCCAGTCAGAGGTTCAGGCTGACACAGCTGAAGTTTCAATCTGACAGTGGGTTCCAGATGCTGGACTCGGGGCCGTTTCCAGTTGTTGTGGAGGTGGAGCAGGAACGCTGTGGAGCGTGTTTTTTGCGGCAGGAAATGCTGTGTCACAACACAGCCCGCGGCGTCCTTGTGGCCGTTAGCTGCGATCCAAACAAGGCTCTTGGCTTGCAAAGGAAAAATACTTCTTTAAACACTTATCTTCCCCCAGCAGAGCATGTGCAAGGGACTTCCACATGCTGAGCTTCTGTGTCGTTTTCAGAATCAGCTGTGCCTTGGATTTATGCGTTAGATGCAAAAGAATCATTGAATCGTTTTGCTGGCAAGAGATGTTTAACATCATCAAGTCCAACCGTTAACCCAGTACGGCCAAATCCACCACTAAACCATGTCCCTCAGCACCACATCTATGCATCTTTTAAATGTTTCCAGGGAGGGTGACTCAATCCCTTCCCTGGGCAGCCTGTTCCAAGGCTTGACAACACTTTCAGTGAAGAAATTTTTCCTAATCTCCAATCTGAACCTCCCCTGGTGCAACTTGAGGCCATTTCCTCTTGTACCACCACCTGTTCCTTGGGAGAAGAGATTGACCCCCACCTGGCTACCCCCTCCTTTCAGGGAGTTGTAGAGAGGGATAAAGTCTCCCCTCAGCCTCCTTCTCTCCAGGCTGAATACCCCCAGCTCCCTCAGCCTCTCCTCACAAGACTTGTGCTCCAGACCCCTCACCAGCTCCATTGCCCTTCTCTGGACACAGTCCAGCTCCTCAATGTCCTTCTTGTAGTGAGGGGGCCAAAACTGGACACAGCACTCGAGGTGGGACCTCACCAGTGCCCAGTACAGGGGACCACCATCACTTCCCTGGTCCTGCTGGCCACACTATTCCTGATACTTGCCAGGATGCTGTTGGCCTTTTGGCCACCTGGGCACACTGATGGCTCATATTCAGCTGGCTGTTGACCAGCACCCCCAGATCCTTTTCTGCCAGGCAGCTCTCCGGCCACTCGTCCCCAAGCCTGTGGCACTGCATGGGTTAGTTGTGTCCCAGGAGAGTGAGCGACTGGGTCATGGGAGGTGGTGAAGCAAGGACCAGTACAGTGTGGGCATGCACATTGCCCAGTGCTGACACATGCTGAGACATGGTCCCTCTGTTCACCAGGGTTCATGCTGGCATCTCTCCTCTGGACCCAACCCCGTATCTAAATACAGATATGAGAGATCTTTGGTGGAAGTGAGGGCAAGCAGCTTTCCTTGAGGTTGACTTTGGGAAAGCAGAAGCAGTAGCAGGAGCATAGTTGGGGTGAACCTATCTAAGAGGTGGATCTTCTTTTTCTTTTTTTTTTTTTTTCTTAAATCTTCTTAAAAAACAAAACAAAAAAAACCCCATTGCATCTCTCTCCAGAAAGCAATTTGATGGAGACTCTTATGTTCAATGGAGTCTCTAAGCTCCTTTGTTAGCAGGAGTCACATAGCCTCCATGCTTTGGTTAAGTCCATGACCATCTGTCTTTTTTTTTGTTTATTTATGTAAAAATGAGTGAAGTTTGTGTTTTATAATCCTTTTACTTAAAAAAGTGACAAAAAAAAAAAAAGATAGCTCTTAGGAAAAAGGACAATGTTTTATAGCAGAAATAAAAATTACTTTTCATCTGATGGTGGTTTTATTGATTGATATTGGGAGGCAAATGCTGGAAAATTGTGGCATTTTAATCATGGTGATGTTAGGAAAAAATATTTTTTAAAAAAGGCAAAATAATCTGACACTTTTGAGCCTTTTGGATGAGTTGTCATTAGAACTTTGCTTAACAGTAGCAAATGCTGTATTTGGGTATCTATTAGGAAACAGTTTGGTTGTTTTTTTTTCCTTTGATTTGGAGACCTTTGAATTTTCAACTTTGCAGAGCCATTGGAGGGAGTAATTTATTGTTTAATTTGATTTCTGAAAGGGCAAAGGCATGTTTAATCCTTGAATATCCTGATAGCGGAATAGAATTGCAGAATGAACCTGATTGCCCTCTGTGATGAGACAGCTGGAACTGTGAGCAAGGAAAGAGCAGTAGATAGTGTTTAATTTGGTTCAGTGAGGTATTTGATGCCATTTCTGTGTAGCTAGACTCACAAGTTGTGGACTGGATAAGTGGATAATATTATGGGTGGAGAATTGGCTGGGTTGCTGAGCTCACTGGTATGAAGTCCAACTGGAAGCTGGACAACAGTGGTATCTCTCAGGTAGTCCCTGGCAAAAATAATCCTATGAGTCTTTGTGCCCTTAGGGATGGGGACATCTGAATTGCCAAATCCACAGTGGCCCCTTAAGAGGTCACTTACCCTTCAGTAAGGCCAAGAGTGGAGTTTAATCCTGTCAATGAGGTCTCAGATGGGAAAAGGCTTCACGCTGTACTTGGAAAGTAAAGAAGCATCTCAATACAGCATTTTGGCTAGTGTGAAATAAGTCAAAATGTAGACAAAGCCTTGATAAAGTTTGATTTGGCTAATGGTTATGAAGGTACAGAAGGCCCATGCTGCAGTGCTTTGAGGCTGCTTAAATCAAACTGCCTTATTTACAGCTGGGAGGGGTTTCTCCAGAGGAAGGTGTCTTCAAAAGCACAGCCATAAAGAAACACTCCTGCAGTACAGCTAATGGATAGCTGCAAAATATGCTGCGTGGTCATCACAGCAAGATAAAACTACCACAGAAGCAGAATTACAGGGCATATGGTGGAAAAGAGTTCATCACAAAAGTCTTGCTTGCACCTCCCCCCCCTTCCCCCCGCCTCCTTTTTTTGAAAAAATTCTAATCTGCTTTTTTCATTCCAGGTTTTTTCAAACAACTACAAACTTACGTTGAAGAGTTCAGGAGTTGGCCATTATTCAAGCTTTGGTTAGGACCGTTGCCTGTCATGGTTTTGTATCACCCTGACAGTGTGGAGGTGAGTGTGCTTGTCTCCTGTCTATTCTACTGTCATGCCAAGCAGCATCCAACCTGTTAGCTTCTATTCCCTCAGTGTAATTTTTGCAAAAAAAAGGCTTAGACTGATTTTAATTGAGATTGGCCTCTGACCCCGTGCTAAAGAAAGGCTGAAAGCAGAAGAATATAAAAAGCCTAGTCTTGGGGGGAAAGAAATACTGAAGATGGCCAGTAAATTAAAGCAGTGACTTTGTTTTGTACAAAGAAGCATCTCCTTTAGCTTTGTTTTCACATGTGTGAAAAATTCTGCTCCTGAGATCAAAATGGACAAGCAGATAGCAGGGAAGATGGGACCACTGAGATAAGGATAGAAAATTATGAAATGTGTGTCTGTCTGACTTCTGCGTTAGAACTTGGTGGGTCAGTCTTGATGCCATGAAATGTAATTATTAGTTTTGCTACTGGCAGTGATGGTCCTTGAACTGGAAAGGCAGTTGTTTCTTGGTTGGAGAGTTTATTGAAGAGGTGGTGGTACTTGTGAGCTTGATTAAGGCTGAAAACCATTGGGTTTTCTGAGTTCTGCCTGTGACTTTGTAACACAGATTTTTCTTTTTCAGGAAGATAAGGGGAATGGGAGTATTGAGTATTCAATTTTTTCTCAGTATTGGGATAGTTACTGAAGGACTTGAGGGTATGAACTCAATGTTCTCCCTGTGTACCAGCCTGTACTGAAATACTGTGCATTTTAGTGAGGCTCGGGGCACTTCTGTGGAGGAACTGAGGCTGTGTGAAGTAATCTCAGCTGAAGGAATCCCTCTTCATCTAAGAAGTGACTTTTTTCCTCTCCTTTTATTTTTCTGACAGGTTATTCTGAACAGTTCAAAACACATAGAAAAATCGTACCTGTACCATTTCCTGCACCCGTGGCTGGGGACTGGACTTCTGACAAGGTATGGTGAAATGCTATTGCTGGCTTTTTTGAAATGGGTATATGATAGAAAGAGGGCTTGGTGGCAGGAATGCTGTGTGTATCACTGGATGGAGATGTAGAAGTCTTAGTCCTTGTGATGGTCTTGGTTGCTCTTTAGCAGCTAATGTCTAATAAAAATCTTCTGGCGTTATCAGTTTCTTGGCAAATTCGACCCTCGTTACTATTTTGCCCAGAGGCTTGAAATGAATGTGAGTTTTGGGAAGTTGTAGCCTATGGCAAGTGGTGTCTTTCAGTCTTCAGTGTGGGCGTTATGAATGCTGTGATGCGTGTAGAGTGGTCACCTTGTGGCAGAACTGTAACTACGTGCATCGCTTATCTCAGCTGGTGACGTGGCAAACCAGTAGGATGGGCCTGAGGTTGGTGGTGATGCTTTGGGGTGGGATGGGAGAGGATCTACGCTCTGTCCGTCATTTCCCCCATGCAGTGGAGGCCTGTAAGAAGTGAGCCTGGGTAAAAGCACATCAGGAGTGGAGAGAGAGAGGAGTAGTGATGCAAGGGCTTGGTGTCCTCCAGTCTTGGGAGGGTCAAGGAAGGTTTGGTCTGGATCATGTGGATATTCAAGAGTTGGAGCAAGGAGAACATAAATTGGCTTGGGTGCCTTTGTGCCTCTTCTGTGTTTTGGTGAGAAGTTCAAGGTCCCCATGTTAGCAGTTGAGCTTTGTTGCCTGTCTGGAGCCCTCAGGGGTGAACTCCTTGTGCTTTGTGATGGGACCATGGTGTTGTAAACCAGCTGTGATCACATGTTGTGGGAGGTGCAAGTTTATGGGAGAGGATGAAGAATGCCTTTTATCCTGAGTTTCATTCATGGCCCTTAAGAAAGCAGTAGTCAGTAGCAAAGTGCAGAGAACTGAGGTCCATCAGCATCGGGCATGGTGAATCCTCACTGTTAGTCTTCTTCCTTACTGGTTGTTTTCTTCCCAGTAGACTTTTAGAAGTGTTTTGACTTCCTTGTGCTTGCAAAAACATAACGGAGGAGGATGTTCCAGTCTTTGCTGTTTAAGGGCAGTAGTGGTACACAGCAAGCAGATAAGCTGGCCTGAGGAATGCCCCAAATGCAGGTTAAGATGAGTGCACTTCTTAAGATGAGAAGTGGTGTGACAGCTTCCCCTGTAAGCAGAGCTGCCAGCTGTGTCCCTGTGGGGCATGTGGTTCAGAAAAAGCAAACAAGAACCCCCAGGAAGCTGGTGTCACCCACTGTGGCCCTATGCTCTTTCACTGACGTGAGAGGTGGTTGCCTGTCTCCGAGGAAGCACTTTGTAGCCAGGCCTCGAGGCAGTAATTTGGGTAACGTCCAGTTCTCTGCAGTCCTCATTTCCTAGTAAGTGGATGGGGTTGCTCTTTTGGGGAGTGCTATGGACAGGCTGATGTGTCATCTACAGTGTGCCCATCTGTGAAGGTGTTCCAGGCTGTAGGTTTTCACTGTGTACTTCCTGTGATGGTGAGGGTTTTATTTTTGACTTGGAGTTTTTAACCCTTCCATCTCCCTGTTAATTTTGCAGCACTGGAGACAAGTGGCGGTCACGGAGGAAGATGATAACTCCCACGTTCCACTTTGCAATCTTAAATGACTTTTTAGAGGTTATGAATGAGCAAGGAAGTATTTTGTTGGAGAAACTTGAGAAGCATGTTGACAAGGAACCATTTGATATCTTTCTAGACGTCACTCTATGTGCTCTTGATATCATCTGTGGTAAGTTCAGTTATTCAGTTATTGTGGGGGGAGCTGTGAATGACAGCTTGTGGTGACAGAGGATGGGAGCAGTAGTAACTCACTGTGTCCAGGGACTGCATTTCACTTAGCACTCATGAACTGTTGATGATTTCCTCCTCCTAGAAACGGCGATGGGCAAGAACGTGGGTGCTCAGGAGAATAAGGATTCTGAGTATGTTCGTGCTATCTACAGGTAAATGAGCATTTTGCTTGGCTGCTTTGTAGCTGGGCTGGAGTTGATGCTGCTGGTGCCAGGGCTTCATCTGCTGTGAGGTAGGAGAGATGGTCAGGGGGATCATAGATCGATGTAGAAAGCCAAGAAGGCAGGAAAAACTTCTGCAGATTTTGATGCATTTTCTGATGAGCATATGCAATGGGAGGCTTTGAAGAGGGTGTCAGCTGCTATTTAGTTAATCCATTGGTACAGCAGATTAAAAAAAACTGCTGCTCTGCAGCTGATGGCAGTATTTACACCATTAAATGGTGTGTTATAAAAGGGGGGTAGAATTCGAGGGTTTGATTGTCGTTGGTTCCTTGAGTTTTCCCAAGTGGTACCACAAATGGGCCTGAAGTTGGTCTAAATGTAATACTTACTCCTCAGAGTCTGTTTCTGCAGCCAAAAGCATGTGCAAGAGCTGAAAAACACTGACAAACAGCTCTTCCAAAAGTACTCCACTTGTGTTTGAGCATACTTGAAGTCTCATATTCTTTATTTCAAATACTTTCCATATGCTGTCTGGCATGTATGGTATCTGAATAATTAAGTAGGAAAGTAATGCTTTTAGATTGCTGTTTGAGGTCATGGAGCAGATATTTTTGAATAGCCTTTTCAGATTGTACATAACTTTTCAGCGTGGTCAGTGCTTTATTGATGTGGTGTGGGACTGGACCGGGTGACTTAATATGTCTGTTTCAAGAGGATTCCCACTAAATGAGAGTATGCTCTCCTCCTTGGGGATCAGTGCTTAAATACATAAATCACGGTGATGCTGGGACAGGCTACAGAAATGTTGAGATGGTTTGAAATCAGGGAACAAATATGAGCAGCCTTTCCTTCAGATGAGTGGGTTTAAACCCACACAACATGTTAAGTTCCATTTCATTGGGAGAGGTAGAACTTTTTTTGGTTCTTGAAAGTGTACTGTAATTTTTTTTTTTGTCAAGAAATGTTAAATGATGTAACTTCTGTGCCCCTAGGATGAGCGATCTAATCCAACAGCGACAGAAGTGCCCTTGGCTTTGGCCTGATTTTCTATACATGCTGTTCAAGGAAGGAAGAGAGCATGAGAGGAACCTCAAGATCCTTCACAATTTTACAGATACAGTATGGATCCTATTTTTATTTTTATTTTTTTAATGGTACATTCTAATTGTTGGAGCAAAGTCTTGCACTCAGTAGAGAGCTTCCAAATGGGCGTGAGGTTCAGCTCCCTTGATATGCATCTATTAAGAGGTGAACTATCTCTCTGTTGGGATGCTGAGGAATTCCCTGAAAAGAAGACAAGAGCTGACTTCTCCATTGAGAGCTCTGTTGTATTTAAGCATGGGAGTATAGTATTCCAAGGGAGTAACAGGATTTAGGGGTGGGTCTTTGACAACTGAAACAAACAATAGGAGTTCGTTGAACTCTTGTTCTGCCCCAGATGCTCCCCATCTGAATCACCTGCAACAGCTCTCTGCCAAGTTTGGAGTATTAAGCACAGGGCTCTGCTTGGTAATGCCACTTGGTCCAGCCCTCAAATTGAAGCCTGTCTTCATTTTCCCCTTTGTGGAGCAGAGCCACTGAGATGAGCAAACACAAGCAGGTCCCCACATCAGTAGTAAGACACTTTGACACAGAAACTGTTAAGCATATGTCACTGGCTTGGTATAAAATGCAGTATTATCTCACCATGTTAGACTGTGCAGGTAACACCTCTTTCTCTCCCCGAATAGACTCATAGAATGGTTTGGCTCGACCTTAACGATCATCCAGTCCCACCCCCTGCCCTGGGCAGGGACACCTCCCACCAGACCAGGTTGCTCCAAGCCCCATCCAGCCTGGCCTTGAACCCCTCCAGGGATGGGGCAGCCACAGCTTCTCTGGGCAACCTGAGACAGGGTCTCACCACCTTCACAGCAAAGAATTTCTTTGTGATATCTATTCTAAATCTCCTCTCTTCCAGTTTGAAGCCACTACCCATCCTCCTATCACTACATGTCCTTGTAAAAGTCCCTCTCCAGCTTTCCCATAGAACAGCATGGTTCCCACACTATTCTTGCCAATAGTTGCCCTCCCAAATCTACTGTTCAGATGTTACCAGACAGGCTACTCTCCCTGGAAGAGGTCTATGTATCCCACGAAGTCAGTGTATCAATACCCACAACAAAGGAAATAATCTTTGAACTTTCACTGCATATAGCGAGCCACATTGACTCTGCTTTGTTTGCAAATAGTTCATGTTTTGCTGCCTTTTATTGGCAATGGCAGCAGTGAGGCATGAGAGAGGCTTTTGAAGGGACCTAAGGTAACGCTTACTCTCTTCCCATGCTGGGCTGGTGCACTGAGTATAAGAAGCCAAATCTTAGATGATGGCAAAGAAACGGTAAATAATAATAATATCACCTCGTGTAGATGCTGACAGAAAGCACTGAGAGAAAAGGTGGTTCAATACGTGTTTTTATATGTGTATGTTCAGTGAAGGAAACAATGTATATATTTTTTTTTCCCATTCAGTACTTCCTCTGAACGGAATTACATAGTCTGCAGCCTTTGTTTTTAATTATTTTGTTGTTGAGAGCAACACCAGTTTATCAAAGAGTTCTGTTTTGCTGTTATGACAACGGTGGTGACAGCAGGAAATCACCAGGGCTGTGCTTTGACCTAAAAGAGGGAACTTCAACCATTACTCTCATACTGAAGAAAATTTGGGAAGTTTCAGTGTAGTGGCTCCGGCCATGCTGTGTAGCCCTAATGCAGAGTTGTGGGGTGCTCTGGCTTCTTTTCAGTCTCCTGGGTTCCCCAGAGGTTGGAGGTGTGATCCTTTCCTTAGTTATTGGATAGTGAAGAGAATATTTTCTTGGTGACCAATCTGTTCAAATTGTGGAAGTGGTTTTTGATTTGCTGTCGCTATTGTTGGCATTCACGATTGGCTTGTTCCAGATACTCTGGATGTGCTTACACTTCTTGATGATCAACAACTTCTTGGCATAGTTTATCTATTTTCTTGAGCACACAAAGGCTATTCGGGATTCATTCACTGTGTGGGACAAAAGGGGTTGGTCTTATTTCGCCTTCTAACACAAAAAGTCAGTTCAAGTTTGTGAGGTAACGCTAACAGCCATGCTAATGAGCTCACGTAGACTGCTACAGATGGATGTTGTTGTTCTAATAAGTTGCAACAAACCTTTGTGATGTGGACTGTGCGAATGTACTGCATGCATCATGTCTAATTATTCTGATCTCAGGTCATTGCAGAAAAAGCTGCAGAACTTGAAAACACCAAGCAAACGACGCATGATGGAAACTGTGAAGAAAAAGGCTCCAGAAAGAGACTGGCTTTCCTGGACATGCTGTTGAGTGCAACAGATGATGAAGGGAACAAATTGAGCTACAAGGACATTCGTGAGGAAGTGGATACTTTCATGTTTGAGGTACCCAAGGAACTCTTTAGTTTTTTCATTTTTTGGGGGGCTGGTTTTGTTTTTCTTTTTTCCCCCAGGACCTGAGATTCACCTTTTGCAGGTAGTGATGACTCCTTTTCTTAGTTTAGGAGGTTGCTTTTAGTATGAATTTATTTTAGCCCTGGAAGCCTAAGAGGAAATCTCTTTAGGACAGAGACATTTGATCCAGAATTCTTTGCCCTGGCAAAATGTTGGGCAATACACATGTGGCAGGCTCTGCCTACCTGAGCAGGCTCTGCTCATGAAACCAGGTGAGTAATAAGAGCTTAATGGCTGACGTGGCTCCTGTGACAAACCTCATTAATGCTAAAGAGAGTGCGAAATGGTTTTATTGATTTGCACTGCATTTTGTCAGCTGACCTCACGTTTTGTCCCTTGCCACACTGGCTGTAACCTCCTGCTTCTGTCATCAGCTGTGCATTCTCTTGTCTGGTTCCCTGTTGTATGAAGGATCTGAACAAGACTTTCACAAGTTTTCCACATGCTTCCATTAGGTGGACCTGAATTATATGTCAGAAGAGTTTAATTCAGAATTATATTACAGCTGTAGAAACTCTCTTCCCATCTTGCCATTCCTGTACTACTCCATAGCTGGATTTTGAAGAGGTGCAGCATCCTGAACTTCACAACAAATGCACTGTGTTAGTGAACTTTCCCTTTCCCGCTCCCTTCCTGCTCCCTTTCTTTTCTTTCTTTTCCAAGTCTTTATGCAGTGCTGAGAACTGTAGTAGCTGATCCACTCCATAGGAAACCAAGAAGTGTTCCCTCCTATCATCACTGCACTCTGTCTCATTAGACCCTTTTTGGGATAGTTTTGTAAAGGTTACAGATTGTGTCCATTGTGTCTCTCCTGTGGTAGTCGTTGGCCCCCCAGATGTTACATTGCTGACTGGCTGGTAACCAAAAAGATGGAAATATATCTGTTTCATTGTGTAGATACTGATAGTTCATGCAGCTTCTGGGAGGCAGACTAAAGGGATGTTTGCTTGGGTTATTTCAACACTTTTCTCTTTTGGTCAGTTTTCAGGCACCCAACAGAATCCTAGGTCATCTTATACCCTGATAATCAGCATATTGGATAGAGTTCTTCAATCTTGATATTTGTTTTTCTTGTGGTGGTGGGACTAATTAGTCTCACTTTCCACACTACCTGCACACCTAAGTAATTATGAAGCCTGCTTGTGTGCAGGAATAGTGTTAAAATTAATGTCTTTGTAAATCTGGACCTCTAGGGCCATGATACAACAGCAGCTGCTATGAACTGGGCCCTGTACTTACTTGGACGTAATCCTGAAGCCCAGAAGAAGGTTCACAGAGAACTGGACGAAGTGTTTGGTATGTTTCCATTCCCCTTTCATTGGGGTTGTGGTGATGGTTGCATTTGTGAGATGGTGGTTGCATTTGTGAGTGGGGATGTGGCACATTATAGGTCTAGATGTATGTAGAAAGGAAGATGGGAACATGCCTTGTGGCCCTTCTGGAGCTTTCAATAACTAGAGGTGATTGGGACGGGTGCTAGAACATCTGGAGGAGACTACAGCCAACCAAACATCTTGGGTGCAAGGCATGCATGTTTGATATATGTGTGGCACCTTTTCCTTTGTGGTTTTGGTGCATGATGGGAGTTCATGGAGGGAGCTGAGATGAGTTAGTTTAACCAAAACTGGGGAGTTTTGGTCTTGCTTGTTACCCTGTTTGTTTTTGGACAGGCAACACTGAGCGTCCTGTTACAATGGACGATTTGAAGAAGCTTCGATACCTTGAGTGTGTTGCAAAGGAAGCCCTTCGGCTCTTCCCTTCAGTTCCACTCTTTGCCCGTACTTTGAGAGAGGACTGCTATATTAGTAAGTAGTGTCCTGCATTTGCCACTTCCTATCCTGGAAGCATCTCCTCAGTGGGGGTGTTTCCCAAGGAAAGGACAACATTCTTTTATTTTTCAGTGTGCTGTTGTGTATAGAAAGTCACTTAATTTGCTATTCTTTCGATCCTTCTTTTCCTTTTTCCCCTTTTAGGAGGATATCAAGTACCAAAAGGCGCAAGTGTCCTTGTCATAACTTACGCCCTGCACAGAGACCCCGAGATCTTCCCCGACCCGGAGGAGTTCAGGCCCGAGCGATTCTTCCCTGAAAATTGTAAGGGAAGGCACCCCTATGCTTATGTGCCCTTCTCAGCGGGTCCCAGGAACTGCATTGGTAGGTAGCCGAAGTTCAAGCCCTTGTGATGTGACAGTGATGCTTTTGGCGTGGTGACTGTGAAAATTGAAGTCTTGATGTGCCAGCTGGTCATGTCCCCCCACTGCCCAAAATTTTCAAAACCTCCTGGCCTCCAAATTCTGGGCACTGTCTTCCCTGCAAGCCTGATGCCTGTTTCTTCCTAAGGTTTTCCTTTATTCCCAGGAGTCAGTGTCATCCCAGAACTTGTTAGCTCTTCAAATGCCGCTGAGAGACTTGGCATTTACCAGTGCTCACTGTAGAGGTGGTGTTTATATTGTAGGACACATGAAAAGCTGTTCCCTGCACTGATCTTAAGTGCAAGTTGGGAACATCCAGGAATTGCCATGTCATTTACAAAAACTTCTTCTGGGGTTTTGATTTTGTTTGGTTTTTTTTTTTTTTTTTTTTTTTTTTTTCTGGAGGGAGCAGGGTTGCCTTTTGGGTTTTTAATTTGTGTCCTTGGGAATAGGTGCACTTTCCATAAGAACAGCAGACTAGGTCTTTCCACATTCCAAAGAGGAATTTAATTTAATATTATATGTCTAGCTAGTTCCTGGGTGTACAGAAATATGTGGAGGTGAGGTGGTTCATTAATAATATCATTGCAGAAATACATCACTGTATACATATGTACAGACATCCCTCTGTGTGTTATACAGAGGGGAGCACAGAAAAAGTTCTGACCACTGGGTTTTGTGTCCTGTTCCCATTTTTGGTTTCGTTTGAGTGAACTATCTGGATTATGACACTTGGTTTGGTTTCCCTCCTGTTTCCCTGTTCTCCCCTTTCCTCCCCCACCTTTTTCTGCAGATCATTGGTGTGTGTGATGCTTGGTGTTCTTTGAAGGATGGTCAGTCTGTCATTCAGTTGCAGTTCTGTCTCCTTTGCTCCTCCCTGCATATATGGAACAGTGGGATTTGTCTCTCCTTGCAGTCCCTGTGCTGCATCTTCTGTTCTGGTCTTTCATCCATTCCAACCTGCCTAGTCATAGAATCATAGAATGGTTTGAGTTGGAAGGGACCTTAAAGACCATGTCGTTCCAATGCCGCAGCCCCAGGCAGGGACACCTTCCACTTGTTTGTCAACCAGTTGGTCAACAGTCCAAAAGACATGACAAGTTCTGACTGTTTCCTCTTTGCTGTTTGAGTTCTGTGTACTCTGGGAAGGAGAATGTGCTGGGGATTGTCCCAAGAAGGCCAGAGTCGTCATGCAGAGAAAAGTGCTCATTTCAGCAGTATCCATATGACCTCAATTTAGGCCTAAAGCCACTTCTGTTCTCGAGGCAGTCCTTGCTGTTCCTAAGGGTATCTCTGTGAGCATGCAAATGCAGCAGCTGTTGATGCAACCTGACATTAACGTCTCTTTTCTTCCTCTGCCGCGTAATTCGTAGGTCAGCGCTTTGCACAAATGGAGGAGAAAGCTATTCTAGCCCTCATCCTGCGGCGCTTCTGGGTGGAATCATGTCACAAGCCAGAAGAGCTTGGTATAACTGGAGAACTGATTCTTCGTCCAAGTAATGGTATCTGGATTAAGCTGAAGAGGAGGCCAGAGGCTGGACCAGAATGAAAGAAAATTCAAGATTTTATTTTTCCAAAAACTTCTAAGATTTTTAGTCTGAGATATGTTTTTAAATCAGATGTTTTGATTGCAGTCCAGCAACTTATTGAAACTGAAGTTTTTTACTGATTGTTTCATTAAAGATGATGTTGTAATAGCTCTAAATTGCTCTAGTTTTCTAGTACATGTGAACTTCATGTTCATCTTTGAAGTGCTAATCTTTAAACATCAAATCTTAGTGCCTTATCTACTCAGGTGAAACTATTCTATTGCAACAGTGCAAAACCCCTTAAATTATGGTGGTAACAACATGTTATGTGGAGTGATCTGGTTATATCTCATAGCATTTGTGAGGTAACTGATAGTCTCATATCTTTGTATCGTTTTCAGGTTTCTTTGGTTCTGAAAAGTACAAGTGATCAATTCCTTTTACTTGGCACATTTTTTTTCTGTTTTGGTGATGACTGCATCTATGAAGACAAAGCAAATATCTCTGATAGTTTCACTCCTCCTTTGTAAGCATTAACACCAGTTCTCAAATAGTGAATGCTTTGAATTATTTTTTAGCAAGGTGTACCATAAGCATTAATCTGTATAATCATGCCATAAACTAGACAGTGTGGAAGTTACACACAGGATTTCGTACTGACAGAAGCACTGTATTGTTATCAGTTTTGAAAATAAACTTCTTCTGTGCCTCAATACAGAATGAAATTATATCCGTGAAAGTTACATGGCTGAATGCAGGTAAGTTACTGATGGATAATTATTTCTTACCATCAGTTCCTCTGGGGTGATCAATCAACTTGATTTTATTGTGTTAGTCAAAGCTGAAACCATGAGACAGTCTGCTCTTGCCTTCTGGGATCCTGAAGGCAACGTAGATAGTTTCTTGCTGATTGATGTTAAAAAGGTTTTACAGTTATGAAACAAAGTGCTTGTGAAAGATTCCGACTGTACCTTCAGGACAGGTCAAAATGTGCAAGGAACGATACAGCTGGAGAACACGGTCTCCATGACTTTTATGAGCACTGAAGGAAAAGCTGGTGCTAGATCAAACTGAGGTCCTCTAGCTGGTGTGCCCTTTGCTTCAGGGAGAGGATTCTGCCCTCTTTACTCCATTCTGGTGAGACCCCACATGGAGTACTGCATCCAGCTCTGGAGTCCTCAGCACAGGAAAGACATGAACCTGTTGGAATGAATCCAGAGGAGGCCACAAAGATGCTCAGAGGAGCTGGAGCCCCTCTGCTGTGAGGATAGGCTGAGAGAGTTGGGGGGGTTCAGCCTGGAGAAGAGAAGGCTCCAGGGAGACCTTAGAGCCCCTTCCAGTCCCTAAAGGGGGCTTACAGGAGAGATGGGGAGGGACATTTATCAGGGAGGGGAGCAATAGGACAAGGGGGAACAGCTTTAAACTGAAAGAGGGGAGATTTAGATTAGGTATTAGGAAGAAATTCTTTGCTGTAAGGGTGGCGAGACACTGGAACAGGTTGCCCAGAGAAGCTGTGGCTGCCCCATCCCTGGAGGGGTTCAAGGCCAGGCTGGATGGGGCTTTGACCAACCTGGTCTGGTGGGAGGTGTCCCACTGTGTGGAACTGGATGATCTTTAAGGTTCTTTCCAACCCAAACCATTCTATTATTCAACTTCTGCCCTGTGCTTTAGCACTTCTTTTGGCTGGTGTGTGAAACTGGTGAGAAGCTGGAGGTCAGAGATGATACAGCTGATGTGGACTTGTCCACCTCTAATGACTAGCGTGCTACAGAGGTAATCTGCCCTTACTGGTTTTCTTGGCCTTTACAGATTTGTTTGTCTTTCTTTGTGTTCTTTTAACAACACTTAGTGGTTTAATACCTGGGATACTGCTGTGCTTTGTAGAACATCAGAATACTGAGAAAATAATTGCTGTGTTTTCCAAGCAAATGAGAGGTTTCCTTGAAACTGCTGAATTCTTGATATTCTGATAAACCTAGGTTATAACATTTTCTAAGGATCTTATAAAAAGAAAGGATTTAACTTCTTAGTTTACATAAATGAAATCTCAGACCTTGACAAATTGTTTATTGGAATTGCTGCTTTTTTTTTTTTCCATTAGAAAACAGAAGTTGTTGAGCAATGATAATATGGTTACATTCTTCAGCTTTCATTTTCAAAGACAGGTTTCATTGCTGGATAAAACAGGAATTTAAACTTAAAGGGCTGATTGTAATTTGTTTATAATGAGAACTTTCAAGACAACTTCTTACATTAATAAACATAAAACAAATGGGACATGTTTTCCAAAGAGACTCCAAGTTAAGGAATTTTTAAATGCTTCTGGGTACTTGGTAATGTAAGCTTTGCAGGCATACAAGATTTGCATCCAGAATATGTCTCCTCAAGACATTCGGTACGTAGCTGAAACCTGGAGAGGTACCTCATGTGTTTTGTTAAACCATGTGCTTAAAATGAGGACTTTGCAGACCAATAAAAACTAATATTAATTCATTTTCTTCTGTGGGATCTCTTCTGTGGAAGCAGTTTTTAAAATGGACCAAATATAACAATTCTTTCCATTCAGGAGTTTGGGTTTTTTGTGACATTTGTCTTCAACAGTATTTTTGCTTGTTTTGTTTTTGTTCCATTCTCTTCTCATATAATGGGATATCAAGTAAATTGTAGTTTCTTTATAATCTCTGATGGGAATGAGAAAAATAATTGAGACAAATACTGGATAAAACTGTAATGAGAAACTCATTATTAAAAGTGCAGAGGCTGAAATGCTGGCACGGGGTCACCAACATGGAAAATCCCCATTTAATGGTGTCTTTGCCAAGATGAGCACTGGTGTAATCCCGTAGTCTTAGTGATCAGAGCTGTTCTGAAGAGGCAGTGACCTGTCATTGTCTGTCATGAAAGCTGGTTCTGCAGCAAGCTGGGGCTGCTATGGAAATAAATGGAGGAAATCAATACTGAAAGAACAGGAACATTGTGCCTGCAGGGTAGATGTTAGGTACCTGGTGTTGTGTAGAGTGTGTGCTTTTATTAACCTGACTGGTGTGGTGTGTAGTTGGTATATCCTTATTGGTATATCCTTATTTTTCCTTTTTTTTTTTTTTTTTAAAAATTTCTTTTTTAACCCTGTAGGACTTAGGAACGCAGCGGAGCCTTGCCAGTTTTCCTGATAAGGTAATGGGACAATAAAATATTGTGTAATAAAAACTGCAGGTACAGAGGTAGTAGTTGTTTGTGATCTTGTTCTGTTGGCTGGGTGCCTGCTGGTGCTTGGACCTGAAGGTGGTGGCTAAACTCTAAACCCAAATACTACTCCTGAGCAATGGTTCATATAGGGTCATCTCAGTGATGCTGGTCATGGGGTGGTGCTGGCTCCATTTCTGAAATATGACTGTCTTGCTGTAGGGAGTTGATAGCCTTGTCTCCTGTAAAGAACCCTTTTGTATGGTGACAACCAAAGAGTGTGTGTTTCTGGATCATGGTTCAAGCTGTTTTGAATAAAATTGACAGCAAGCCCTCTGTGTGACCTCTTGGGTAGTGCTGCTTGAAAGTGCCTCCAGGGCTGCTTCAGAGACACTAAAGGTTTCCAGCCAGCTTGTCACAAAGAGCTTTTTGGGCTCAGAAAGCCTCATGTTTGGGACATGTGCAGGAGGTGGAGTAGTGATGACTAACTAGACATCTGCCTGCCTGCCCATATTTAATCCTCCTACCACAAAAGACAAACGCCTGTGTGTAGATGTTTGTATGCTCCTGCATACAGATCCTCTTGCCATGCATGATTTAACATGACATCTCACTGGTGCTTCTCTTCCAACAGATAGACTCAAAGAGCCTTTGGAGAATCTCACTCCACCTTCTTTTCTAAAGGCAGTATCGGTGCCACCCCTTGGCAAAGCTCCCAGTGTAGGACTACCTCAGTTCATAGTCAGGTCATATTTGGAAGGTGATCTTCATAACTTGCATGGATTAAAGTTAAATTACCTCATTTCCTTAAAAAAAAAAATAAATTAAAAAATACTAGATTCTTCTGAGAATTGGAGTTCTCTGCTACATATAACTCCATCATTTCTTTGTCAAATGGACATTTCTGATCCATGCCTGGAGTGTAGCTTGTGGAGATGAAGTGTCCATTGAAAATGTGAATTATTTTGAGAGAAGAGAGGCAGGCATTTAGCAAAAAACCTGTATGCCCAAATGTACAGACCTGAATACAGGGTAGGGCTGGAGGCAGCCCTGCAGGGGGGTCTCCCCAGAGCAGAGCAGAGGGGCAGAATCCCCCCCTGGCCCTGCTGGCCACGCTGCTGAGGATGCAGCCCAGGGTGTGGGGGGCTTTCTGGGCTGTGAGATCACGTTGTCCAGCTTCTTCTCACCCACCAACACCCCCAGGTCCTTTTGGCAGGGCCTCTCTCCATCCCTCCATCCCTAGCCTGTGCTGACACTGGGGTTTGCCCCAACCCAGGGGCAGGACCCTGCACTTGGCCTCGTTGAACCTCATGAGATTCACATGGGCCCAACTTCTCCAGCCCGTCCACGTCCCTTCGGATGGCCTCCTGTCCCTCAGGCCTGTCAGCTGCACCATCTGCAGGGTGTCTCATACTTTAGGATGTGCACAAAGCATACGGAATGAGAAATTATGTTGTTCTTGTCTTACTGGCACCTTCCCTCCTTCGTTTGACGTTGGTTTTCCTTTTGTTCCATGCCATGCGCGGGGAGTGTCTCATCACAGAAAGCAGATCCTGTCCCGTGATGAAGCTGCTTTTTGAATAGGACTGCTGCAAGAAATGTGGGATTTTGTTTTGGCAGGCAGAACTAGATCTAAATCAGACTAAAGTATTGTCCGGTCATTAATTTCCTGAAGTGAAACAATTTAGTAATGCCTGCTACCTCAGTGGGTGAATGAGATTTTGCATAAATCACACTGGAAATCAGAAGAAAGCAGTGTGTCAGGGAGATTTTGTCCCCCCCTGTCAGAATTTGCTGACAGCTTAGGCTGAAGCAGGTTTTGTTTTTTTAAATACCAGGTCAAAATGAAGCAGAGTCAAAACAGAATCAAGCACTCCATTTTGTTTCAGATTATTCACCTGAATTTTGTACTTTTGTTATTGAAAATGTTTCAATTTTATCAAAATGTTTTGATGAGTTCTTCCTTTTACCTTGCCATCTGAATTCCTAACTCTTAATTACAATATCCCACTTTAGTTGCCAGAATATTATTGGAAACTAAATGAATACAGTGGGGGAATTCAGACAACAGCAACCTTACTCCCTAGGCTCAGTAGAGGCTAAGTATTAGATGTTTTTGGTATTCTATGCACTTTGAATTTCTATCTCCTCTACTCACGTACTCTCTGGATTTTAGTAGAGCTCTGTAAACCGATACCAGCTGAGAATTTGTCTCAGCAAATTTTATAATTTGTCCTATAATAAATATGTCCTATAATATAATAAACAATAATTAATTCAGGAACATAGAGTTCATAACACATTCCTTTCTTTGTACAGAAGTACGACTCCGTTGATTTGAGCAGGGGCAGTGCTGTAAACAGGAGCGTTTGTGGTGTGAGGAGCAGGCCTGCTGAAAGAAAATGCATTTATTTTCCAAAGTGAGAGTGATCACTGTGATTCTCTTTGAATAGCCTTGCTGCCTTATTTCCCAGCTTCACCATCAATTCCAACTGATTCCCACATAGATGTAGTTAAAATGATGTATGCT